ACGTGGTAGCTACGCCACTGCAAGAAATTTCGTTGTATGCGCCATAATTTTTAAAATATGGATAATATACTCATCAATGTACACATTTGAAAAAAAAAACGTTCCTGGTCACTCTGCAATCGAACACAAATCTATCGACAACTGAGGTACATTGTTGTTTAACCTTTCAAAAAAAAGAGTAGCACTTGTCCTTGAAGTCTTATATTTAATGGTCAAGGTCAGTGAAAGTATTGTGGATACAGTTCAAGGCTGTTTTGTCGTGTTATCACGCGGACTCATGTCAGGCCCATAGGAACCAGAAGGGGGGGGGGTATAGGGGCGCCCAATAATTATATGCTATAATATATATACAAAACAAAACAAAGCTATGTCACTACCTAAACTGCTCCCACAATAATAACGATTGTTCAAGTAATATCTGGTTAATGGGCTTGATTGGCAAGAGAAAGGTTGCAATCCCCCCCCCCCTTTTTTTTGAAATTGCTTAAGGTCTGCATATTTGATTGATTGTGTGTGTTTTATGTCCCGTTCGAGAATTTTTCACTCGTATCGAGACGTCACCATATACCGGTGAAGGGCTTCAAATTTTGACCTTTACTCGGCACTCAGGGCCACTGAGCAGTGAGGGTTCTTTATCGTGCCAACGCCTATCGCGATACGGGGCCTCGGTTTTTAAGGTCTCACCCGAAAGACCCGCAACTTTCACTCCAAAGTGTCGAGCGCTTGACGAAGGAACAGTTGCTACCTATTTTTTTTATCGACTTAGGTCAGTCGCGGCCGTGATCGGAACACACGACCTTCCGATCACGGAGCGAGCACTCTACCTACAGAGCTACCGTGACGGTTTCTGCATATTTGATACACAAATGCTAGATGCAATAAGAGGTCATTGTTGAAGGTTCAACAGTACTCTTTATCTATCATATACGTGCATGTTTATATGTGGGTGTGTCTATCTGTGTGTATGTAACCTTTCATTCACAATTTTCTATCTTATCCTTGTAAAAAGCTTGTATGCCTTCTGTTCTGGGCCCAAAATTGAAAAATAAAATTATCTTATCTTATATAGTTGGGAAAGTATCAGTGTATTGATCAGAGTTGAAGTGAGATGATCTGTCCTCAAGTGAGATGACCTGTCCTCAAGTGAGATGACCTGTCCTCAAGTGAGATGACCTGTCCTCAAGTGAGATGATCTGTCCTCAACTGATGAGGAAAAAACAAACAAGCATTCGGAGAGTACTGCATTAGCAATACTAGTCCCCTACCGGCAAGTGTAATCTGGTTCCCGTTACAAAAAATGTCATAATACCGTAAAAAATCATTGAAGCGGAATGAAATGCAAACTTGTTCTTCACCTAATCAAGGTAAAGTAATATACCATGATTCAGCTCAACACCTGCAAGCATTAGGAAAAAAGTGCGGAAAACCAAGTGGGACAGACTGACAGACAGACAGAGGGACAGCTAGACGCGGAGGAAACCTACAGTCCCCTCGAAATGGAATCTGGAGTTTAGCGGTTTTCCTTCTTCATTTTTTGGGAGGGAAAAAATAATCTGTCCTTCACTGGCATGAGAATAAATATTATCTGACTTCAAAAAAAAGGCCCCCGCTCTCAGAATCTTAAGGAAGAGAGTTAATTTTAATATATCCGACTATGACATTCTGAAATATTTTCTCTTTGGTTTTTTGAAAATTTCCATAGTGTTTCTTAAAAAAATTTAAAAGTAAACTAAAACAGTTAACGTTGTTCCAATATATGGTACAGTAACACGAAACACTAAATTGTATTAATTTCACTTAGCAATTAAATGGAAGGAGGGGGTGATAGAAGACGCAATTTTCATTCCCCCCCCCCTCCTTAAAAACATTTTAAACAGTTAAAAAAAATATAATACATGTATATCAAACCACGCACCAGTAGGAAGAGGTAAATACAATCCTGTCTGTTGCCCGATCCATTTTCTGATTTCATTTGATTAATAAGTATTGTTTGAATTCCTTTTGTATCAATTACTAAGTACCTAAAGTTAGTCGTTTCTTATCCTTGTAATTCGTATATAAATATATAGTTCGTATATAATTATATAATTCGTATATAAGTATAGTACAGGTAAATTATTACCTACCTCGTCGCTAGAATCAGTGGAGGTGTTCTACCCGTCTGACAGCGAGAATCTCGATGTGGATTTCACGCTGTTACTTAAAATAGATCTTCTGCAACAATTTTTTTGTGCATGGTCGTTAATTTAAAATCTCTTGAAGATATAATTTATCGCCACAGTATATAAAAATACCTAATCTTGTTTTTTGATTATGATAATTAATAAATGGTAAGCGAAACATCACATGCAATATAATTCCATTTCACAAAAAGCAAACGTACGCAGTAATATAACAGTTCAAACAGAGATTTATATTCGAAAGTGTAACTTTATAAAATCGTCTATATCCCTGTAAACACGTCATATTCTTTCCTGTAATCTAAAGTATGATGTAATGTGAAGCTATTTCAGGATCATTGTGAGTCATCTATGAAGCCGCAGCAAATGTATTGATTGTCTTTATAATTCAATACTTATATGATGAAAAATCACCTAACCTTAATTCAGTAATTAAAATTAAAAAAATGATAAAAATTCGGAAATTATAAAAAAAAATTAAAAATGTGTATTTGCCAGAGGTGATTCAGGGGTTTTAAAAATGATTACTTAAACTCACAATTAATACATGCTGACACGATTTTGATATTTGACGTGCCAGGAAAACGTCATAACCGACACCATTATGAAAAGTGGTAATTTTGCCTCCTCCTCCCCCCCCCCCCAATGAACTTGATTTTTGATACTTTTAAATCGAATCAAACGTCAAACTCACAACTTAGCAATAACACAATGCTTCTCAATAGCTCTCACTGGTATCGCTTAAAAGAAAATATCACTCCACATTTCGATACAGGTCTCACGGCGAGATTTCAAATTGCACGAAATCAAAACAAACCTCGGCCGTCTTATAAAATGTTTTTCACCAGCCATTTTGTACAACAAAGAAACAATAAAGGCGATATTAATAAGTACTAGAAGCATTGTACTGTTGATAAGATGCGAGTTAGACATTTAATTCAGTTTGCATGTATCGAAAATCGACCCGAGAATGTCGCCTCCGGTGGGCACGTCAAAAAATTGCCTAGAAAACGTCAGATATTTAGGACAACTCCCTGATGTGAGTGTACATGTTATAGTATGTTTTATGAAATTTTCATTTAATTCTAAAGGAAGTTGGGGTGGGTGGGGGTAAACGGGTTTGTCTTCAAATTCGATATCTTGAATATCGTAATTAAATTTGTTCATAGTTTTTGCAACGGTATGCCTTCAAATCCGATATCTAATACGATTAAATTTATTGTATTTTCAACTCATTGATCTGAACCCATAAATTTTATATCAGATTTAGATAATGTCATCTTAAAAAAAGATCCCTTTACAACTCTCAAAATATTTTTTTTTTAATTATAATTCAACGGCGTTACGTTCTTTTAATTTATGCGCCGATATTATGAATTATCTATTTTATTAAAGTAGGGTGTTATAAATATGTGCAACCACAGAAATTATATTGGTAAATGTTTTCTGATAATATTTTGATATACGTGTAGACTAATCCTATAGATTAAGATTATAGTTGTTTGCACCTATAAAACCATAAAACCATGCATTGTGAACTTCACATTTTAAAAAATTGTTAGATCTATACAAACACATAATTTTATATAGTAATTTAGAACGATAATCAATAGCAATCCATGAAGGGTAAATTGCACACATGTACAATACGCTATGAAAAAAAATCTTCCTATGAAATTCCTGTCTCTACTTCCGTACCATTTAGCCTATAGTCCGAAATATCTGACGTTTTCTAGGCATTTTTCACGACTTTGATATATGACGTGCCGGGTTTTCCTGGCACGTCAAATATCAAAAATCGTGAAAAATTCCTGGAAAACGTCAGATATGTTTTGGACCAGCCTATATGACAAAGAATCAATGCTTGAACTTTGGTATATTGTCATATCATCCTTAACATTCAGGCGTGGATGCAGGAATTTTTTCCAGGGGGTTCACCCAAGTCCAAAAAATTCCAACCGAAAAATTTCTTGACAAGCAAAAAAAAAAAAAAAAATTAATTAATTAATTAATTAAAAACAAAAACAACAACAACAACAACGTAAATTCCATTTCCAAACGTGAAAAACACCTATTTAGTGGTGGCGATGGTGGGGTCCACATTTTCTAAGGGGGAGGGGGGGTTCAAAAGTAATATAGTGATAGTTCTATGCTGTTTTAATTATTATCATATTCAAATTAATTATACATTAATGAATATGAAACAAATAAATTTTAAACAAGTTTCTTCTAACAACAAAAGAAATTGTACTTTGGTTGGCACAACAAATGAAGTTTCAGTTGTGTTTGAGGGTACTCGCATAACATCACTTGTAGACACTGGTTCATCAATTTCTATCGTCAGTCAAAGTTTTTATGAGGAACACCTCAGTCATATATACCCTTACAATCTTTATCAGATATTTTGCACATAGAGTGTGCTGATGGTCAAACATTACCTTACTCTGGCTATGTTCAATGTTCTATAGAAGTCAGTGGTATTGCTGATGATACAATTTCACTGACTTCTATAGAACATTAATGAATATGAAACAAATAAATTTTAAACTTCATTTGTTGTGCCAACCAAAGTACAATTTCTTTTGTTGTTAAAAGAAACTTGTTTAAAAATTTATTTGTTTCATATTCATTAATGCATAATTAATTTGAATATGATAATAATTAAAATAGCATAAAACTATCACTATTACATTACTTCAAGCTTCTATAAAAGTCTTCGAATATTTTGCGGATTATAAGCATTTTGATGTATAGCGTATAGTGTTTTGATCCGCTCCTGCTATGCAGGACATGCGTATTAATTGAGTTTCTTAACTTCCGGTGTAAGCCGCAAAGATGGCGGAAAAAATTACAGACGAGGAACTCGTAGAAGAATTGAAAGCCTATGGCGAGGTGGTAAAAGTGCCGATCGACAAGAAAAAGCGACCGATATTGATAAAAAAGTTAAATCATTTCAGGGCTCGAGATAGACCTGCCAATCAGGGAAAGAAAACGACACCGTCTCGCTCCAGACAGACAAAAAATGTCGAGTTCAGCTCTGCAGAAGAAAGCGAAGATGAGACAGTCGTTCCAATCAAGCGCATGACCGCGAGACAAGCTCCACAGAAAGAAGCTGTGTCGTCATACTCTAAAACAGACACGATAGAAATATCCCCGCCGCGGACACGAACTGGATCACGACGCAGCACAAGACGAAGTGGGGTGGGGGGTAGTAGCAGTGATTCAGTGACCCCGGCCCCGAGTGTGCCATTGAAATCATTATATCCTGACTTGTCTCGAGAAATAGGCGGGGGTGCCGTAATAAACTCCTCAGTTAATTACTCGTATGAATATCAAAATGAATTCACGGACTCTGATCCCGATGAGAGTATGTATGAAGTCGAAAACAAATCAATGAACACAACTTTTCAGTTACAAGACAGTTTTGTTGATAATTACAAGTCGCCTTTAGGTCATTCTGTTAAACAGCGCAGGTCAGTTGGAAGGGGAAATTCCAGGAAGACAGAAAACAACACCGCATGGCCTGAGTATTCTCGTGGAAAATTGAACAATATCACTGACAACAGAGAGGAAGATGAACACGATAATCATATTGATCACTCATACGAGCCTAAAGCTTCATTCATTTCTACCAGCATTCTGTGTTTAGTTGTTTGTTTCTTTTTAATTGTTGGAGCAACATACATTTACCTTCGTCAAGACATAGGCAGCACACATTTTGGACAGGGTAAATTATTATTCTCAGAGTTGTAATTGTTAGTCCTGTTAGCAAGGCCAGTAAAAATAATTTTCTGGAAAACATCGGACCAAATGATCTATTTGAAAAAAAAGCGGACAAAATGCAAAATCTGAATATTGAGATGTGCATGTGAAGGTCAAATAAACAAAGGAGATGGCCACATGGCTGTTTAAATTTGTTAAGGGCCATCCAAAGAAAGGAAAGTATGAAATGGAAAGCTGTTGAAATCAATGAGGGTGATCTTATTTTTTTTATTTGTTTTTCTTTCTGTACAAAATAAAGTACATGTATCTGGTCTGGTAAAACTTTTTCAGTTCTGACAGAATATGTTGGACCAAATGTCTTATATATGTACAGTTGAACTTCAGTATCTCGAACACGGATATCTCGAATACCATGGATATATCATGATTTTGAGGTTCCAAGTGCTTATTTTTTAAGTATTTTACCCGGGATATCTCGAATCCTCAGATATCTCAAAGTATTTTCTTAGTCCCGTGAAGTTCGAGGTAATGAGGTTTGACTGTATTTTTGTTTTTTACTTTTCTATCCATATCATTATGTAAGGTTTTAAGTCATTTTTATAATTTTATATTCAAATAAATATTATAATACTGAATATAGGATGAACATTGACCTGGGTAACTTGTATGGAAATATTTATTTAAAAGAAACTTTGACTTAAATGTTTTATTATTTGATTTTTTTTCTTCAGCAGGTGATGGTGATGTGGTATACCCTAAGGGAAGAAATAAGATAGAGGTAAAAGAAAATTATGAAAAACAATTAATGATATGGCTTAGTAATAAAAATAGTACTTGATTAATAGATTAAATTCAATAGATATAAAACACTATGATTTTAAATAATTGAATGGAATATATATACAGATGCTGCATAATATGCATTAATTATTTCATAAATATTCAAATAGAACAGATAGAGTGTTATTGGTGAATAATTTTTAAGAATTAATCTTTATTGTAGACACTTACATAATACGATTGTTACTTTTGTTATCAGTATGAAGAGGCTCATCAGACTGTAGTGAAAATAGAGGAATATCTACGTAATAAAGGTGAGTGGGATAGGAAAGACACCAGAAATAAAATCGCAGGCAGGGAAAGGGTAATGGTAATTATCAGAATTAATTACAAATTTCGATGTACAGTGAATTATACTTATAGCGAACAAGCTTTGTATGAGATTTTTTCAGTATGGCAGGGAAAACCTTCAAACATGATAGATGTAGTACTAGGTTAGTGGACACATTATTGGAAAATTTTATTAACATGTATTGTAGCGATTTTTTCTACCCATTGGGAAAGGGTCCGGTACCTGTTCAATTGGGAAAAATAGCATCGAAGTAGAACAATGGAGAATTTTCTGTCATTAAAACAAATGAAACATATTTTGCGTCTATTCCAACCTCATTACCTATTACTCCGTGTTTTAAAGAATAAACAACAAGTATTTATTGTTTTTCATATCAGCGTCCCTTGTTTTCGCATTTTCATGCTTTCAATTTGTCAAAATGTATGACACTACGCTGTCTACACCACAGGTCCCGCCATATTATGACTAATCTCTACTTTCGAAGTGAACCAATTAGTCAACTTGTACAATGTTTCATATAAAAAGAAATATGATGTCATCGTAGTCTGTTGCTTGGCAGTTAAATTGGGAATTTTTAGTCTCAAAATTGGAGAATTTAACGTTTTTTGGCATTGGAAATGGTACCATTTATTGGTACCAGTTATATACGGAAAAAAAACGCTGTATTGTAAACTGAAAAAAGTATATTTAAATCTTACATGAATATAATGGAATATTTATATTGCTTTTATTTATATATATATATACCTCCTGCTTTAGTTTGATAAAGTGTTTTCTTAAAATTTAATTTGTAGTTTAATTAATACATATGCAAAGTAAATGTATCTTAATTACCTGCTTGCAGGTTCAGATATCTGAGGGGTACAATTGTAATTGTTAATTGTCTTTGATAAAGCTGTATGGAAATTTTCCTCTCCATTTTTTACCTCACCTGAGCCGAAGGGTCAAGTCAGCTTTTCTGATTGAAATTTGTCCGTTGTCTGTCATCGTCGTTGGCGTTGTTGTCATAAACTTTTCACATTTTCATCTTCTTCTCCAGAACTACTGGGCCAATTTCAATCAAACTTGGCACAAAGTATCCTTGGGTGAAAGGAATTTGTTCAAATGAAGGGTCACACCCTCGTCCAAGGGGAAATAATTATGAAATAGCAAAAAATTAATGGCATTATTGAAAAATCTTCTTCTCAAGAACCAATGGTCCAGGAAGGATGAAACTCATGTGGAATTATTGTCAGGTAGTGTAGATTCAATTTTGCTCAAATCATGACCCCCTGGGAAGGGTACGGCCACAATGGACGATCAAAGTTTTACATAGGAATATATAGGAAAAATCTTCAAAAATCTTCTTCTCAAGAACAGCAAAGCTATGATTGGTCATATTTATGTGGAAGCATCCTCAGGTGATGTAAATTCAAGTTTGTTCAAATCATGACCCCAAGGGGTAGGGTGGGGCCACAATGGATGATCAAAGTTTTACATAGGAGTATATAGGAAAAATCTTCAAAAATCTCTTTCTCAAGAACAACAAAGCTATGATTGGTCATATTTATATGGAAGCATCCTTAGGTGGTGTAGATTCAAGTTTGTTCAAATCATGACCCCCAGGGGTAGGGTGGGGCCACATTGGACGATCAAATTATAACATAGATATATAAAGGAAAAATCTTCAAAAATCTTCTTCTCAAGAATAGCAAAGCTATGATTGGTCATATTTATGTGGAAGTATCCTCAGGTGGTGTAGATTTAAGTTTGTTCAAATCATGACCCCAGGGGATAGGGTGGGTCCACAATGAACGATCAAAGTTTTACATAGGAATATATAGGAAAAATCTTCAAAAATCTTCTCAAGAACAGCAAAGCCATGGTTTGTCATATTTATATGGAAGCATCCTCAGATAGTGTAGATTCAAGTTTGTTCAAATCATGACCTCCAGGGGTAGGTTGGGGCCAGAATGAAAGTTCAAACTTGTAGAGAAAAAAGTCACAGTCAAAAAATTATGTAAGCATCCTTAGTTAGTGTAGATTTAATTTTGTTCAAATCATACCCCCACTCCCTTTTAGGAGTAGGTTGGGACCACTTATGCATTTAAGCTTTTCAATACTAAACTGATTTTTCCTTTTCTCCTAGCCACATGCTCAGGTGAGCGATGTGGCCCCTGGGCCTCTTGTTACATTTGGTAAATTTACAATTTTGAATCTAGTGAAGTTTAGGACTCTCTTAATGCTCGTAATTTTAATGTGCATTCCCTTGTTTGTACAGAAATCAGATATAAACAGTCTGTGTTTTTTTGTTTCAGGAAACGGAGAGATGATCAAATGGGAAACATTGAATACATCAGTGACAGGAAGTGAATCGGTAAGGCCAAAAATTATATAGGCAGTGAATCGGTAAGGACAGATGTTGTAACATCTTTCCAGACTTAAAAGAAAAACAAATCTGTCACACTGTTTGACTGAAATAAAATTTTATTGGAGTTATTGCAGTTTACTAACAGAAGACATAAAAGTTGAAAATCAAGCAAATTTTGTTTTCTCTTCTCTGAGGCAAAACGTTGAAAGTACATACATTTGTAAGAATCTTAAAGACGCATTGTCAAAGTTAAACTACTGTTCCAGGATGAAAAATCCATTTAAGATGATGCTTGCAAGACACATTTATTTTTTCATTTGCATAAATTATCTGTGAATTACTCTTTAATTTTCAGGAAATGAAGAAAGCAAAAGAACTGATTTTACTAAATCCTAAATGGGGCATCAGGTACAGTCAGGTCTAGTGTGTATAGAGTTATTTTCACCTGATAATATTTTTGCCCTTTCAATCTTGCAAACAATTTTGCCCAGATTTAAATTTGTCCAGACACATTGGTGCATAGAGATAGAGCTTACTTTCTCAAGTTCACCCCATTTTAAATTCACTCACTTGCAACAAGGGTGAAAGAAGTGAAAATAAAGGGGGGACAAAAATTTCCTTCTTGACAGTTGAAGTACCCTGAGACAGTATGTCATGGTACATTTTTCAATGGTTTAATTCATGCTTTAAACTGATATCTTGGTTCAGTTAAATTGGTCCAGAATTCAGTGATTTTTTTTCTACCCATTGGGAAAGGGTCCGGTACCAGTTCAATAGGGAAAATTAGCATCGAGGTAGAACAAAGGAGAATTTTCTGTAATTAAACAAATGGAATGTTTTTTTGTGTTTATTCCAACCTCATTACCTATTACTCCATGTTTTAAAGAATAAACAACAAATATTTATTGTTTTTCATATCAATGTCCCTTGTTTCTGCATTTTCATGCTTTCAATTTGTCAAAATGTATGACACTACGCTGTCAAATGTAAATAAAAGAAATAGCAGAATGACTGTATCTCTCTTCACTCAAAAAGGAAGAAATATTAAGAAAGGCTCCATCTTCTAAATAAGTCAATGACATACATACATGTATCTATGCTCTGAATTGAGTTTACTTCAGTTCCTTGTCAATGTGTCTTGGTTAGTACAGGCAATATTGTCACAGCTTAATGATGTAACATTCTACTACGATTATTGCCGAGATCAAAGAAATGCCGCGGACATTATTCTCCAATAAATCACGAACGTCATCAAAAAATTATCAGATCAGAAACACATGTCAAATCTGTACAGTTGAAATAAATATTTCACTGTATAATCTAATACTTATTTAGACCACATCGATGTGTCGTCTTCCGCAGTCTAAACATGTGTATTGCCTGAAACAGCTGATAAATATCCGTTTTTATAGCCAAGTGGGGCTGTTCTACGGACCTCCCCATAACATTTACACTCCCGTGATTTTACTGATAAATCAATGAAATAGACAACTGGTTTTGTTATTTTTCATTCATAAAAATTAATCAATATATGTTACAAGCAAATTTATAAATAATTAAAGGATATTTTTAATCCAGCAAAAGCTGAAATCGTCTGCATTTTATGCAATCGATTGACCCTCTGGTGTTAAATGGAACAGCGAAATTGCGACATGGTGACCTAATTCGTTTCTCTATAGAGAAAACGATCAACTGTATTTTAGAGCCGTTAGTAGAATAGAAATAAAGTCCTTGTTGTCGTGAATGATGCAGGATAACCTCCTCGGTCTCGAAATGTTGTCTGAAATATAAAAGCCTCGGCTAACGCCTCGGCTTTTATATTTCAGACAACATTTCTCGACCTTGGAGGTTATCCTGCAACATTCACGATAACGCGGACTTTATTTCTTAATTAATCTAGACCTACTTGACAAATTAAAAATTTTATTTTCATATATCTCTAATACATGTAAATGTATTGTGAACTGAATATCTTGTTACCTATTGTATCATGAGGTGGGTATATCATTGCACCTCTACTTAACAGTATGTGATGTCGGTATCATGATATATATATATATATATATATATGTATATATATATATATATATGAAAATTAAAAATAACAAGGCAACAATGTTAGTAAAACGTAAGCGCTTTCATTATACTTCTTCAGACGTTTTACAATTCAAAACAATTCAAACATGTGACGTTATAACGCTACCTGATGATAACGTCAACAACAATGCAATGACGTCACAATGCTTATAGAGGAAACAATTATAGAGTTTATATTTAACGTCACATGTTTGAATTGTTTTGAATTGTAAAACGTCTGAAGAAGTATAATGAAAGCGCTTACGTTTTACTAACATTGTTGCCTTGTTATTTTTAATTTTCATATTAATTACCGGACACTGTGATATTTCTTTTCATTTTTTGGATATATATATATATATATATATATATATATATATATATATATATATATATATATATATATATATATATATATATATATAATTGTTCTTTATTTATTATGAAATGGAGAAATTCTCTAGCAAACCAAGCTGCTCTGATACATAAAACACCCTTATGAGAAGTTACAAAATTATCTCCTTTACATATATACCCTTGCTAGGTAATCACATTTAAAAAATAAAGACCATTAGTTATTAATTATACAAATTAAATGTCAATAGGCAGTGTATTGTAGACAGACTTTTTTGCACATGGGATTAATTTACGCTATGTATGCAGTCACAAATTTTCCTTAGCATACTTAAAGTGCATTTAAGACAAAGTATGGTAATCCAAAAAATCGCGTAATTTCCTACCTGCGGATTGAACTAAAATTGTAATTTTGTGAAAGTATGACCTTGAGGAAAATGTACATTTACAGTAATTAAATGCATTTTCCTTTTTGGAGGAGTTCAATCTGAGAAGGTGCTTATTCAAAGGGATTTCACTAAAGCGTTCAATTTTTGCTAAGTAAACTTACTTGAATTGTAAAATTTCTAAACCATACATTGATCATAGTCAAGTATATTTCATCCATTACAAATGTCCAGTAACTCTTTAATTAACAAGATACAATTAAATCCACAAATCATTACTAACAAGAATGATACTTTTTTTTTGTCTGGTTACAGATTTTTGCAATTTTTTATGCTTATGGAAATTTTTGTTAACTTGTAATCAATATTTCAGAGCATTTGATGCAGAAAAAAATCCAGTTGAAGCATCTGATACACAAGAGAATGAGGACAAAATAACCTATCTCCAGACTGACCCTGACCTAGGTCTGATCATACGGGTCTGGAGATCCATGGAAAAAATCCTGTTTGGACTCACCCTACTTGTTATTTGTAAGTCTAAAACATCAAAATCCTACCTCTTATTTGTAAGTCTAAAACATCAAAATCCTACCTCTTATTTGTAAGTCTAAAACATCAAAATCCTACCTCTTATTTGTAAGTCTAAAACATCAAAATCCTACTTCTTATTTGTAAGTCTAAAACATCAACATCCTACCTCTTATTTGTAAGTCTAAAACATCAAAATCCTACTTGTTATTTGTAAGTCTAAAACATCAAAATCCTACCTCTTATTTGTAAGTCTAAAACATCAAAATCCTGCCTGTTATTTGTAAGTCTAAAACATCAAAATCCTACCTCTTATTTGTAAGTCTAAAACATCAAAATCACGCTTGCTATTTTTAAGTCTAAAACATCAACATCCTAATTGTTATTTGGTCTAAAACATCAAAATCATACTTCCTATTTGTAAGTCTAAAACATCATTTTAAAATCCTATTTCTTATTTGAATAGATTCAAATTTGTTCGATTCATGACCCCACAGGGGTCGGGTGGGACCACAATGGGCGAACAAAGTTTAACAGAGGAATAGATGAGAAAAATCTTTAAAAATCTTCTTAAGAACAGCAAAGCCATCACTAGTCATATTTATATGATGTCATCTTCAAATCATGAGCCCTGGGGGTAGGGTGGGGTTAAAATGGTAGATCAAAGTTTTACAAAATATGATATTAGGAAAATCTTTAAAAATCTTCTTTTCAAGAACAGCAAAGGCATGAATAGTCATATTTATACAGTAACATGTGAGGTAGTGTAGAATCAAGTTTGTTAAATTAATGACCTCTGGGTGTTGGATGGGGTCACATTGAGTGATCAAAGTTTAACATAGGAATATATAGAAAAAAAAATCGTTTAAAATCTTTGTCTCAAGAACAGCAAAGCCATGATTAATCATATGGAAGCATTCTGAAGTGGTATAGATTCAAGTTTCTTTACATTATGACCCCTGAGGGTAGGATGGGGCCACAATATGTGATCAGAATTTTACATAACAATATACATGATATATGGGGGGAAATTTGCTGATGAAGAACAGCAGGTCTATATTGACTCAGGTGAGCATTGTGACCCTTGGGCTTCTTGTTTTATAATACTTGAATGAGTTTCTTTATTCAAATCTAAATCATGCTCACATACTGATGGGTCCCATATTTGGTTTGAAGTTGGGAGATCTCCAAACTGCATTTAAGATCCCTCTATTCAGTGCACACTAAAGAGTTCTAATTCCATGGTATTTTTGTGCAGTTAGAGTGATCTGCCCTTAGAATTAAAGTGAAATAAATTGAAATGTAAAGTTTTAACTTAACTTGTATTCAATTCCAGCATTCTAAATATTTCATTTGGCCTAGATGAATTAATTGAAGATTTTATTTGCATGTACATTTCTCATATGAGTAAGCAACAGTAATTTCAGTTCAACAGTACTTTATTTCTTTGAATATTTTTCCTGGAGGTTACCAGTAAATGGCACATACTCTGTTAATTAAATAGATAAATTCCATATTTACTTCTTTATATGAATTAATTTCCTCAGAGTCCAAAAAACTAACTTATTCTCCTATAATATTTCAGGATTTTTAGAATTACTAAATCTGTGCATAAAAAACTGCAGAATCATCATTGTGGAATACCAATGTTCATGGATTTTGTTGGTCTGCCATTCCCATTAATTTCTCTCCATTAATTATCTCCATGAATATGTCAACTAATTGGTTCATTTAATCATCCATATGTATGAGTTACCCATAAACCAGTAGAATTTTGTGATTTCCCACAAACATTAACCCTCAAGAAGTAAAATAATTCCATGGTATATAAAAAGTTACAATCATATAACTAAAACATTATTAGGGACACATTTATTAGATCTGTTGAGAATTCCATCTATTTCTTTCCACTGTTTTTAACTAAGGTGTAGGATAGGTGATTGTGGGGTATTGTATGTACAGTACTTTCAGTACTTTGATTTGTACTACAGGTGTAGGATAGGTGATTGTGGGGTATTGTATGTACAGTACTTTCTGTACTTTGATTTGTACTACAGGTGTAGAAGTGAAGATTGTAGGGTATTGTATGTACAGTACTTTCAGTACTTTGATTTATACTACAGATGTAGGAGTGGTGATTGTGGGGTATTGTATGTACAGTACTTTCAGTACTTTGATTTGTACTACAGGTGTAGGAGTGGTGATTGTGGGGTTCTTCAGCTGGCGCTACCACAGAGGTCAGGTGGAACGGGAACAGAAGTGTGTGTTTGAATTGGTGGAGAAAATCATAGGTATGTGTAGAGAGAGAGAAAATCATAGGTATGTGTAGAGAAAGAGAGAAAATCATAGGTATGTGTAGAGAGAGAGGAAATCATAGGTATGTGTAGAGAGAGAGAAAATCATAGGTATGTGTAGAGAGAGAAAATCATAGGTATGTGTAGAGAGAGAAAATCATAAGTATGTGTAGAGAAAGAGAGAAAATCGTAGGTATGTGTAGAGAGAGAGAGAAAATCATAGGTATTTGTAGAGAGAGAGAGAACACATAGGTATGTGTAGAGAGAAAATCATAGGTATGTGTAGAGAGAGAAAATCATAGGTTTGTGTAGAGAGAGAAAATCATATGTATGTGTAGAGAGAGAAAATCATAGGTATGTGTAGAGAGTGAGAAAATCATAGGTATGTGTAGAGAGAGAAAATCATAGGTTTGTGTAGAGAGAGAAAATCATATGTATGTATAGAGAGAGAAAATCATAGGTATGTGTAGAGAGAGAAAATCATAGGTATGTGTAATGTGAAAGTTGTAGGTGTGTGTAAAGAGAGAAAATCGTAGCCATTAGGTATGTGTAGACAGAGAAAGTCATAATCTGGATCAACTAAATCTGCTTAATCCTGGTTTTTCTTTACAGATTTAGTGAAGGATAATTATGAACTTCACCAGGAGAACAACAGACATCCAGAATTTATCGCTGTTTCCCATGTCCGCGACCAGCTGTTACCACCAAAACAAAGGTATGAAAGTCTAGGATCAGCTGTTATCACAAAACAAAGGTATGAAAGTCTACGACCAGGTGTTATCACAAAACAAAGGTATGAAAGTCTACGACCAGGTGTTATCACAAAACAAAGGTATGAAAGTCTAGGATCAGCTGTTATCACAAAACAAAGGGATGAAAGTCTAGGATCAGCTGTTATCACAAAACAAAGGTATGAAAGTCTAGGATCAGCTGTTATCACAAAACAAAGGTATGAAAGTCTAGGATCAGCTGTTATCACAAAGCAAAGGTATGAAAGTCTAGGATCAGCTGTTATCACAAAACAAAGGTATGAAAGTCTAGGATCAGCTGTTATCACAAAACAAAGGTATGAAAGTCGACAATCAGCTTTTACCACAAAAACGAAGGTTTGAAAGTCCCAGATCAGCTGTAAGCACCAAAACAAAGGTTTGAAATTTTGTGACCAGCTATGACCACCAAAACAAAGGTATGAGGACTTCCTAATGGGATTCTAGCTTTCTGTGTCAACTCTTACTCCTCAGGGATTTTCCACTGCCCTGTGTAGGGCCAAATATAGGCCCCATTCCCAATTGCAAAATCTCTCCCTTTTCCCCCAAAATGAACCCACAAAGTTGACTTGATCAAAGTTCTGGTAAAAAAAATCATGGCCAGGTATGGAAATCTGAATGAAATGAACAAAATGTTAAGAAACTTGGCTTAAATTTTATTATGATTGATCTTTTCTGATTAACAGTTCTGAATAATTAAGTAAATTAAACATCAATTTTATTCATCATAAGTGTTTATTTCTCTAAAAAATCATGCAATAAAATTTCCCAATAAGGGATAAAATGTTGTAAGTTAAATTCCCAATTCCAAAGGCCTGAGCCCCATTCCCAAAATGGAGTGGAGAATCCCTGCTCATGCAACATGGGTGTGAAATCAGCAAATGGATTTTGCTGCTGTGTAAACTGTGATTACATCACAGGAATAATATAATGGTTATAAAAGAAGACAACTGATCTTCAAAGTCTTCCTATTGCTTTAGTGAAATGTGAAAATAACAAACAGAAATTAGTAATCATTTCATTAAAAACCTTGAAAATTTTGACCATATTTTATTTATCTTTGTTTAGAATGGATTTATGAGATGCAAGGGGAGTGGGGGCGGGGGCTTTAATAACATAAAATGGGTAAATTCATGGTAGTTTAACAAATATGGGACATGAATATAAGGCTTGAATTTTGTTGTAAAACAGGAGATTGTCAATAAGTAAATGATACATCCCCATATTATTTTTACAGAATTATTTCTTATCTCTGTGAGGTACACAGATATGGATTATCTGGTATGTCTTGATCACAGACATTTATTTTCCAATCATGTTGTTTTGGTAGTGTGTGTATTTAAAACTAAAAACTGCAAATGGATGTAGTATTCCTGTCTTGCATTACATGACTAATTTTCATTTGACAACTTTTATTGACAGCAGTGATATTTATATATTTTTTTTCTATATTTAGACAAAAGCTGAGGCCGCGCTGGGAGAAAGCAGTAAAGTTTATTGAGGCGAACGAGTCCAGAATCCGAATTGAGAACCAGACGGTGCAGGGAGAGGATTTCTTAGTCTGGAGGTGGCTCCCGGTAAGATAAGTCTGGAAGTGGCTCCCAGTAAGCCAATAGTGACTTTTTGTCTTGTGAAAAAAAAACTTGAGAGAAATACTTGTATATGTGTGATTTCCAGTAGAACGTAAATAAAAGGCAGGTGAACTTAACCAGAACTCAGTAGTTACTGTGGTAACTGATTAGATTTTTTCCTTGTAGGCTTGCTCCAATGGAGGAAAATACTGGCAGGGTCAAGGTAAATTCAGTAACTTTCATTTTTCTTTAATTTTGCTCCGCTGTTTTGTTTTTAAGTATGTTTTAGGGGTATAGTAAATCTGTTCTGAAGAACTCACTTAAAAAGGAAAGCTCATTTAAAAGGAAAATTTTATAACTCCCATAGAGAATCCTTCACTCTCTGTTCTGTACATGGATATAAAGGAATAAGCTTATAAAAAAGCTTAATTCCAAGTGCCTATGACTTCCTTCAAGCCAGTTTTACTGTATTTGTAAAAAATTTACAGTCAATTTTTTGAGAATATCAAGATGGGGCAATCTATTTTAGGCAGAGTTGACCTGTTGTTTTGAATTAGTTGTTTTAAATTAGATTTCAAGCATACCAATTTCAAATGAAAAGAAAGTTCATTTTTAATGATAATTTTGAAGCATTTGTGTTAAAGAATGGAGACTCAGACTGTTACATTGTAAACATACTTTTTTCCACGAGGTCAAACTTCCCCGGAATCACAATTTCTGTTCAGTGGGGTAGAAAATTACGCAGAATTCTTGAATTGCCTGTAATGAGAGATAGGTAAACACATCTGTACAGTACAAACTTTATATCATATACCTAGTAGTGTATCAGCCCTGATAAGGCATTTCGGACTAGGTGAGACAGCCTCTTGGAACTAGGGCTGCCTCGCCCCCAGGGCTGAGATATCTCTGTCTCAGCCCGTTGTCAAGGGGCTGTCTCGCCCTCAAATTTCAATCCATTATTTCTGTTTAATTTGTGTGAATTAAGAGTAAAATTTATATTAAGGTGTTAAAGATAAATATTTTGCATACTAAAACTAGTCCTGAATATCTAAGAATTATTTATTTATGCTAGAATATTGAGAAAATTGTTTTTAAAAAGAGCTCCAAATGATGGTAGTTGTGACGTAAGAGAGGTAACTTTTACTGAGAGTTGAATGTTTTGAACAGAAATGGACGTTAATTTGCTTTGACAGTAAGACAATATCAAGTTTTCTCTTTTTGTGTCATTATTTATTTTAATACATATCGTAAACAAAACAAACAGTTACTTTAAATCTCAGACCTGTAACAATTTGTTGAACATGTAACCCGGTTATCCAAAGTGAAAGTAGCGTTATCAAAAGTTTGGGACCTTTAAATCTTAGCAATTAAATGTGCCCTTGATTGAAACATGTTTTAAAACACCAAGACTCATCTATTAATTTTAATGACCAAATCAGGCAAATCCTCACTTTACCTTTGTCAAGCAACATCTTTACCTATCTGAAGATCGATGAACATCGAAAATAAAGAACAATAACTCATTTTAATTTAATACAACATTTTACTGGGAAAAAGTCTTAATATCTTTGGTTTTAGATATATGATATAAACAACATCACACTGCTGTTTTGATCTCGTCCCTGGTATCAGCCCTCATATGGTCTCGGCCCGCGCCCTCCGGGCTTGGGCCGATACCAACCGCTCGGGCTGATACCAGGGCTGAGATCAAAACAGCAGTGTGATATTCTATATATCTAAAACTGACTCAGTATTTACATGGTAACAATACACAATACAAAATACACAATGATGCAATCACTGTTACTAGGTCATCACAATTATGCCATCATAGCCAGGAATGTACACTGCACATTATATGTCACTCACGTCAAATAAGTTTAATTGTTATAGTATTTATAACATTGCTGTTGCATGTCTTAGATGCACTTAAAATTCACTGAGACAAATTTCTGCGGAAATTTTTTGACCGTAGATGTGTAGATCTGTAATGTAGATCACTTAATTTTCATGAACACCTTATTTTCACGAGATAGTCATTGACTCTTTATTAGCAAGACACAATTTTCACAAATTGAGGTTATTGCTCTATATTATCTTTAGGAATGCTAATATACGAGAGAATGAAATTTTTGTGAGCACACTGTCTTGCATAATTACTTGAAAATAAAGTTATCGTGAATAAACTGTAATTTACAGTAGTGTAAAATAATGCGACACAGAAAAAAAGGTATTTCTACAGTATTGTATCTTTTTTCTAAGACAGGTTTAACAGTAGAGCTACATTCTCAACAAAGACTTTGGGATTTTAGCATTTTTTGCTGCATTTTACAATAATGTAGAATAAATCAGATTAAGGTTACAGTTTTAGAATTTGTCTTTGCAGAAGTGTTCATTCATTTTGTAATTTCAGCATTTGGTGAGAATAACACATCATCAGGAGGGGGAGGGGCCCTGTCCTATAGCCCTACCCCATGTCTGAAAATCAGGAACATGTTTGATGCAGAAATGTGAGTCTGTTACCTCAATCTAAGAAGCTTTACCACTGTGATTTAAGATTTTTATCAATCTTTTCATTGAAGTTTCAAGTTGTTTTGTTGAATCCTTCAGAATAGTAAATTATAAAAGCTCTGAGCTTCCCTAAAGAGGATATTTTACTCGGTCAGTTTTTGTTGCCAGGGAAACAGATGAGGATTGGGAGGTGAATGTACAGGACGCCATCTTGGAAAAATGCAAAGGAATCAAGGGAATTCTTCATATCTATGTGGATTCCAACTCTAAGGAGGTAATTCATTACAGCACCCTAACAAGTGCAAATATATGTATTTTAAACATACTGAAATTGCAAACTTCCAATAAATACACTATTTCAAAAGTACTGCACATGAAGCATAACTGACATTTTATATCATAAGAAGAGAGTCAAAAAAAATTTTTTCTCCTGAAATATTCAAACCTATTTTAGTTTCATTGTAGACTTTGTGTATATAACCTTGTGTATATAACCTTTGTACATTTATCATTTACAAGGGTTTGTTTACATTGAATTAACAAACGGTCAGACAAATACTTCACATATGTAGACGTGACATTGTATCCCTTGTTTTACAGGGCTGTGTGTACATTAAATATAACATTATTTCATTGTTTTACCGGGGTGTGTGTACATTAAATGTAACATTGTTTCATTGTTTTACAGGGGTGTGTGTACATTAAATGTAACATTGTTTCATTGTTTTACAGGGGTGTGTGTACATTAAATGTAACATTGTTTCATTGTTTTACAGGGATGTGTGTACATTAAATGTAACAGCTGTGAGACGGCCTACAGTGTGTACAAATCTCTCCACGGCTGGTGGTTTGATGGTAGGTATATTAGAACTGATAATTAGCATCATTAAATTATCATCATTTAGGCCAAAAAAAATTAATAACTTGGTTCTCAGGCCAGTTTTCTCAAAAATAAATGTGGGAGGGGGGCATTTTTTTCCCTTTTTATCTCATAAAAAACAGATGCAGGATTTTTTATTTTTATTTTTTTTTTTATAATTTCAAAACTAACAACTTTTAATCAACAGTGCTTCAACATCAAGTGTAGAAATCAAGATAATTTATTTCCTGCTTCTTTCTCTTGCATATTCTACATTCTGATGATTTGTGCAATGAAACAACGGCATCCTAAAAACCAGACGTGTTAAACTTACAGAACCCAACACCTTTAGTGATGCATCTGGTCAATTGCTTATGTAACACAACTAATCTAAGTGTTTCAGCACTATAAAAAGGGCTTATGATTTTATTAAACATTGTCAAATTTATCTGTCTTTGGTATACCCACACTACCAGTAAATGAAATCTGCAAATCTTGCTGACGTCCAAGTTCCGAGGTAGAGGGAGCCGTCTTTGATAGCTTTATTGATTGAGTTCTAGCACGGAAAAACCTTCAGAAATCTCCACTTTGTACCTTGGAAGTATTACAGTCATTCCCTTATGAATTTGCGCTGAAATCAATGCCATCTGCGCATGAGAGAAATTTTATTTTATTCATATGAGGATAAAAATGGGTAATGCACATTGTTGAATGAGATGCGGGCGGGCCTGAGAACCAAGTTATTAATTTTTTTAGGCCTAAATTATCATTGTTTAATAAATTTTGTGCTTTATTTTATTCAAAACTTTACTGTGTAAAGCACATCTGTTTCCTAAGACAGCTCTTAGTGGGGCCCTTGTTGAGTGTGTCGGTTAAAATTTTCAGTCAATTTAAACTCTAAATTTAAATTAAGTTACAAAACGGTTCAATTTTAAAAAGTCTTTACTGGCTCTATTAACCTGAATGGGTCAAAAAACAAGTGATATACATGTACATTTGTAGGATTATTTATATAGTTGTAAATGTAGTTATAGTTGTACAGGGGTGTATGTCAAAAATGATTTTTGTATATTTTGTACAAAATTTGTAGATGTATGTACTTGGATATACAATTTTTGTAAATTTGTAGGTCGTTTGGTGACGGTTAAATATTTGCGACTTGAGCTCTATCACAATAAATTCCCTGACTCCAGACGAGCGCAGAAATCCCTACAGCCATCCAACAGTAAAATGGCGTCTCTGGCTCAGCCGTATCATCGCTCCACCCTGGAGATGACGTAACTGTGTCCAGATTTGGGTGTTGACATCTGAGTGCCTTGTAGACATGTATAACACTGATCTTCCTGTGGTTGTCTGTATGAGTGGATGGCTCTGTCACTACTCCCATCAGTACTGTCAGTACTTTGATTCTGTTTGTACATAACTCATTCGACTGAGATACTAAGGTATTGTGTGAGAAATATATAGGGCATAAAAAATACAGGACAACAGTTTGATGATATGGTTTTAATTATCAATGATTTTTAGTATGAGTGACATATCTTTGTATGGACATATATTCATTATAAGATTTAGTTTGTAAAGAATTTGATAAAACATATTTTCGAATGATATAAAGAATGATCATGTGATTGTAAGTGAAATATTCTGAATAAAACATATATGTAATCAGTATATCTCAATATCATGGACAGTAAACCAACCTTAATTTCCTCTGCCAGTATTTTTTCACAAGATTCTTAAAGATTTGAAGTTAATATTTTCTCAAAATTTCTGTATAATATCACGACTTATATATTGCAATTGCATTTCACACGAAAATATAGTTAAAAACTTATTTTATCTGGAAATTATTGGAACTACGAATTCCTGGACGCGTTTGATTAACACATCCTTGCACTTTCACAAATTTTATCTTTATCTTTAATATTTAAGAAAAGAAGCGATTTTGTTTTGTATTAATGAAAAACATTACATCTATAATCCAGAAATTTCAGAGTAGAAATGTGCTAGAGCAAACCTCCTCACTAATATCGTCAGCTCGTGCTCAGTGTTGTGTACAAAGTTTAACAAATTGAATACACCCGTGGAACGTAAACTGTTTCTGTAAACAGGGCACGAGCTCTGTTATTGTTAATGTTTACGACTCACCGGGTGTGTTCAATTGTTAAAGTCTGCACACACCACTGAACACGGACTGACAATACTGTGAGTGGGTTTTGCTTTCGAACATTTCTACTCTGAATTTTCTGGATTATAGTTTTAATACTTTTCATTCATACACAACAAAACTGCCACTTTTCTTCAGTATTAAGAATAAAATTAAAAATTGTGAAAGTGCAAGGATGTGTCAATCAAACGCGTCCAGAAATTTGAAGTTTCAATAACTTCGAGATGAAATAAGATTTTTATTATATTTTAGTATGAAATGCTATAGCAACATATAAGTCATGATATTATACAGAAAATCTGAGAAAATATTAACTTCAAATCTGTGTCCAAGCACCTTTAAGCTTTTTTCATTTACAAAAAATATTGTTAGTTACAAACTACCATGTCACGTGTATATTCTAAGGATAAATATTTTGCAACTTGATCCTTCAAAGCATTTTCTACAATTTTGCTATTACATTCAAGAGCATTACCAAAGAATTACTTGAAATTTTGAAAAAGTGGTCAACTGCAGAAATGACATACCGGTACATGTGTAGCAATTTTTCTGTGTTGTTCCAAAGTTGATATGACAAGTCACATGTAAAAATGACACAGCAATTTTTCTGTTGTTCCAAAGTTGATGATTGACTGTAGAAACCACAGCAAGAATGGATGTTGCTTGCTTAATTGAAATCTTTTTTGTGTCTGTCACAAATAAGATTAGGTTTAAATGTTTAACACAAATAAAAATGTATATCGGACTCCTTTTTTTAGTGTCTACATTATAACATGTGAGTGGATTACATTTGTCTGGTTGTAACAAATCATTGTAACCTAATTAATCGTTAAGATGATATAGGGTCAGATTATTCCTGATAGTAGACCAGAGGTATACTGTAAACAGATAATAGATGAAGGTTTTGTTTATGTGGAAGACATTGCAGCTGATTATCAGAAAAAATTATCATTTAAATACGATTTGAAATATTCTACATTATTTTTTGCAAAAAGCACATGCATACATGAGAATTCTGTAATTTTTTGGTTGGTTTTTGTCTTTTTCATTATTAATTTTAAAAATTAAACTGCATGTATCAGGATTGTGGTATTAAGTCTACAATAGATGCCTGGTAACTTGGATTACGTCTGATACTAATTTTCATCTTGTACGTACTCTGTTCTTACTCTTGGACTCTTTTATGTGAGATGCCATTCTTATCCTTACATACATTTATATTTTTTGTATCAACCTGTGGTATAAATTTTCTTAGCAAAGATAAACAATGTTGGTAATTAAATGCATTTTTTCCCCAAATTATTTTTTTGATACCTGAAAGACATTTATACTTGTACATGCCAAGACCACACATCTGTACACACATGCATTACATACACATAAACACCTGTAGATTGTGTACACACATGACATACACGTAAACACCTGTAGATTGTGTACACATGACATACACGTTAACACCTGTAGATTGTGTACACACATTACATACATGTTAACACCTGTAGATTGTGTACACACATTACATACATGTAAGCACCTGTAGATTGTGTACACACATTACATACATGTAAACACCTGTAGATTGTGTACACACATTACATACACATAAACACCTGTAGATTGTGTACACACATTACATACACGTAAACACCTGTAGATTGTGTACACACATTACATACACGTTAACACCTGTAGATTGTTACACACATTACATACATGTAAACACCTGTAGATTGTTACACAAATAAGAGGTCATGGATGAAAAATCAAGTCAAATTCTCCTGAAATGACAGTTATAGACTCTGGTATATCAGGCCTGTAAGTGACCTCTAAAATTTAGGCGCCAGCTGGCGCCTTATCAAAAACATTTAGTCGTCAATGCAAATTTTTAGTCGCCAGGCAATTTTTATAAGGCGCCAACTTTAAAAGTTAATAGAATATAGGGACCCATGACATGCCTAAGAAAACCCTACATGTCCGTGCTAAAAATAATTTCCTCTTCTTTTAAATTTCTTTTCGCTTTTTCTGAAAAATTGTTAAAAATGTGAAAATTTCCGAAATTTGATGATTGCCAAGTCAATTTAAAATGATCGCCAATTTGGCGACTTATGGAAAATTTTTTAGGTGCCATGGCGACTAAATTAGTCGCCAATTAGAGCCCTGTACATGTATTTTGTTTGCTTCTGATTCAAATTGAACTTGATCATATCAGATAGACCAAAACAGTACTCATCACAAAGGTGTACCTCTGAATTCTTTTCATTGTACATTGTGTGTGTGTGTGTGGGGGGGGGGGGGGGGACATTTTCATGGATTGCTAGCATGAACATCTTCTAGAGGATGTAATTTCGTGGTTGAAAGTCTTGTTATAAAAGACATCACTATAATAATAATAAATCACTAAAATAATATTTTATTATAATTATATTAAAACTTATAAACCTTGAAAATTGAACCCCCAGGAAAGATAGCAGTACCAAGTGTACAATTGTAAATGTATACATTGCAAATATTCATGAGTGAAATTACATATCAAACCCAAGTGAAATCTGTTGATGATTTGTTAGGATTTAGAATCATAGCCTCTATGTTTTCATTCTTGAAATGGGTGAATTCAAAAAAAATGACCACCAAACTGATTTTTTTTGGCAAAATTCAACTATTTATAACATATTTTTCACTTATATCATCATATTGCAAATGCATTCTAGTTTAAAATCCTGAAGTGGCAATAGAATAGACAATTGGATTAAAAAGTTTCAGAATTTTTATGAGTAAAATTTCTTTTGAAAAAAGAAAATATCATTACACCTTAAAAGACTTTCTAAAATACATAATCACAAGAAATTATAGTTTTTTATGCTTCAAAATGGTAAAAGGGGTATAAATGATTAAATCTAGACCTTGAATGAGTATCTTCTCTTGTACATGTGACAAAAAATTGGCTTTTTGATTGTTATTTTACATTATTTTTTCAATTCTGGTTTGAAAAGTTTTAATGTGAAAAAAATATGAAGCAGTAAAATTCCATAAAATTCACTTTTTTGTCCGTTCAAGTCAATTCTTTAAATCTAAGCCAAAAAAGAATTGTTATATACGAGTTCTCTTACAAAAAATACTAGATTTTGGAGTGACCCTACGTTACATTATTGTGTTGCACTCCTGACATCTGATATGTATTTTATTTAACGTTGTTTTAAAAATTATAACACACAATAACCCACTCTTACTTTGTAAATCAATTTGTCGTGTTGATATTTTTCATTGTTTACGACAGGTTTTTCATATTTTGAAGACCTTAAAACATGATTATTTGCAAAGTGTAATATATATAAATTTTATTTAAAATATATGTGAAATGATGAAAACTATTCCCTGAATTGACTGTAAAATTTCTGTAATTTGTTGATAGACATAGTGTTTTGAACATAAATAGAATCAAGCATTTTTTTTTTCAACTTATTTTTTAGTAAAGCTAGTTAAAAAGCATCGGTAATTATGAAACAGTTTTGTTGCACTCCTGACTGCAGTAAAGTTTGAACTTAAAACCATAGAACACAAAAATTCATAAAGTGTTGGCAACATCAAGTGGTAATGAAATTGTGCAATACTTATAGTCCAATACTTCGTAATTAAAACAGATGAAAGTATTTAAAATTCGCATTTTATCTGGAATTATACCCTATTTTATGCCCAAAAAACTAGCTTAAATGTATATTTAGAAGATAAAATATATTTTAAAGCATATTTTCCATTAGAGGACAAACACAGTAACCCACCAGAAAAATTCTACTCATCATTTTCTATTTATTTTTATTCTTAGTGGATGATTTATAATTCTAACATATTTGTTGCACTCCTGACCAAAAGCACTGGGGCCTTTAAAGTAGAATTGTGAAGTGAAAATTACAAAAGAACTTGTTCTGTTGTTTCAGTGAAGTTGAGGAGGAATTACTTGAATTTAATGACAATGTTTTAGTGTGTTTATTTTTAACGTTCATTAAAAAAATCACAAAAAGATAAAAACACATCTGAATTGATAAAATTGAAAAAGGAAGAATTTTAATAACAAAACTATCAATAATTTAGCATTAAATTATGCAAAAAGATCATTATTAATTAATTAATACCTCTAAGCATGAATAGAAGTCTTTTCGACACACAACTTGAATCTTTAAAAAAATGTGTTGCACTCCTGACCATAGAAATATGGATCTTAAGCACAGACAGATCCTGTAATTGATAAATCTATTTGGTAAAAATGTTCTTTGTGTCTTTATTTTCCAAAATAAAAATCAGAAAATCATATAATGATAGTAGTTTTTTCATGCTTGGGAGCAAAACATCAAATGTTGCACTCCTGACATTATTGGGTATGCACATATACTTGACTCTCATTAATGCTTCTCGTGATTTATATATCATTTTTAAGTTTTAAAATGTATATCAGTTATTATTTTACACTTCCAAAATTTTTTTTGGTCTTAATTTTCTATCAGAATTTTACAATTGATGTTTTTTTGGCAACACTACATTTTTTCTGTTGCACTCCTGACATGGTATAACATTTTTTTAAACATCAGTCATGACCACAACTTGATTAAACAAAAGTTATGACAGTCCACATTTAAAGCTCAATACTTTGAATATTATCAGGAAAGTCTTTATTTTCAACATGAAGCATTGTTTTTTATTTCACAGATCTCCAAAAAATATTGAAATTTCAAAATGTCACAAAAAGGTGTTGCACTCCTGACAATTTTAGCATCATTTTTGGGCATAACTTTTTTGTTAATTGAGATATCAACGAGATATTTGGCAGTTATTTAGACACTATCTAAAGACATATGCTGAGACATAGAAATCTATTTTTATTGCCTGTATTTTTAGTGTCGGTTGATAAATATGCGTTTGGTCATTTTTTTTTAATTCACCCAAATCTAACATCAAATATGATAAGTTGTTAAGGTCATACACAATGAACATTGACCTTACAATCTACAGTACTTACTGATAATCTTTCAAGATATTCTTAATAATTAAAAATCATAGTACCATCAGACATTCTTAGACAAAATACATCAGCATTCATTACCAGGGGTTTTGAACAGGTAATTGTTGAGTAGGTCTTGAAAAATATGAGTTTAAGCTGGTATTGCCTCAAAATTTGATATAATTATAGAGGTGTATAGCATCATAAGGCATTATGAAAGTCGCACAAAGGTCCTTCAGTTGTCAGAACTCTTAAATTATACAGGGAATAAGTAAATAAAGTTCAAAAACTATGTTGCATATGTCCTTAAATCATTTATTTTAATCAGTGGTTAAATGTATTAATTATGCAATCTGTTGAAGAAAAAAATGAGTGCAAAGAGAAAATTCAATAAAATGTAAGCTTCACTGTGAAAGAGATCTTGTAGAAAATGCTTTAAATTTGACATCATTTGTTTCTGTCATCAGTGTTTGTGATTAAGAATGCTTGTATTTTTTTCCTGAACATGTGTAATCACTAATGTTAGCATTGAAGAAGACTGGTTTATGTGTATATGTAGACAGGTTCAACTGTTTATGTGTATATGTATGGCAAATTATAAAAAAAAAAATACCTGAAGCCGAGTGTAAAGTCTTTTGAGTGTTTGTACGTCATATTTTAATATAAAAAGTTCATCTGTGGTTGCTGACTTCAATTTGTTTTATATGAAGAGGATAGCAGTGTGTTAATATTAAGAGACTCCAAGGCAGACACTGGTCAGTATTTAAACATAAGCTTGAATGAACAGTCGCCAGCTTGGTTTGGTAAGAGTCCCTGGGTTACAATATTGAGATTGTTTTGTTTTGTCTGATTTACTTGACAATTTTGAAGTAACAGAAACATGGCCGTAAGAACCGAGGGGGGGGGGATCCCCCTCCCCATAATTTTGCCGATGTATTGACTATAGAAAACAAAGCAATTTTATGCTTGTGCCCTCTCAATAATAACGTCTGATGACCTTTTTTTTTTTGCTTGTCAAGGATTTTTTTTAATTTTTGGTATTGCCGCCCCAACTGAAAATGTTTGGTTGTGCCCCCTCCTCCCCCCCCCCCCCCAAACTGAAATTGCTTCCTACAGGCCTGAGAAAGCTGACATGAGTTCTTTGGGAATTGAAAGAGGTATACTAGTAGGATTAGTAAATATCTGGAACAATGTCATGGATATATTGTGGTGCCGTGTTTAACAATAATATTGATTAGTCAATGACTTCCAGTTATGTAGGGAAACTACAGCATGCTACACTAGACCAACAAACTCAGAAAGTCTGCTAATCATAACACAGACAAAACAAGCAAGAATGAAATTCTTTGTTAGACTAACATACAGAGAAAGTCAATCATCTGCAGGGTTCTCACTAGGATTTTGCTAACTTGAGTCCCAGGACTCAAGTTTTCTGAGAAGGTTGCGTCCCAGCTAAATTTGATGCGTCCCAGAAAAATTATGTTGAGTCCCAACTAAAATATTGCAGTATTCTTCCATCCAAACATCAATAAAAATCTTTATCATTTTATCAGTTTGTTTACGCAATATTAACATATTCAAGTATATAAACTAGTAATGCATTCAAGCCATATTCTAAAATACACGCGTAATCAATTGCCATAAAAATAACTTGGTGTTTATAAAGCTAAAATTAACTGTTGCATAATCAACTAGTACCCAAAAGTTGACTGTGTACAATCACAGGTGTCATGTGCAATGAGGCGTAACTAATCCTGTCGGTCGTCTGCACTGGGTGAAATTCACGAGATAAGCAAGCCCCATTGTGTATACAAGCAGTAATTATGGTTTCTGCATGTAGATAACACTCAAGATTCAAAAGTGTTTTTTTTTTAAAGTTTGGCATGCGACACTATTATGACTGGACTAATAAACATGAAATATCTTATGATCAATCCCTGTTTAAAAAAAGTGAAATAAGTACAAGAAAAGTTGTTTCTTGGATAAACTTTATGATAGTTACATGAAGGTTTCGATTAAATATTTCTTTGACAAATCCTAACATCTAAATTCCCCGTTTTCGAAATCTCCCGAATTTTCTCGCTAACGAGGACGCGTCCGATCACGAGTCCGCGGACGCATCGTTTTTAAGAACCTTGCGTCCCAAGGAATTTTGCTGCGTCTAGGACGCAGATTCTTGCGTTAATGAGAACCCTGCATCTGTCCAAAACCATTGAGCATTGATGAAATGCTACATTATACCAACATTTCATGAAATATGCTATATACCGAACACACCATGAAATGCTACATTATACCAATGTTTCATGAAATATGCTATACCGACACACCCAGAAATGCTACATTATACCAATGTTTCATGAAATACTCTATACCAACACACCCAGAAATGCTACATTATACCAACGTTTTGTGAAATGCTACACTATAGGGACACTTCATGAAATGCTACACTAAACCGACATGCCCTGAAAAGTTATGCTATACCCCTATACAGGCACCCTATAAAATGCTATGCTAAACCAACATACCTTGAAATGCTATGCTATACTGACAAACCATGAAATGCTATGCTATACCAACAAATCATGAAATGCTTCACCATATCCACGTACCAAGAAATCTTATTTATTTGGTAGGTAAAATAACTACATATAGTAGTTTAAGAGATCTGTCGATGTAAGATAAGCTAACTGTGGAGGAGCATTGGTACAGTTCACATACAATATAAGCAAGACTTTAACAAAACAGCTAAAATTGTGAACAGGACTATATGTAGTAAGGTGTATTAATTTATAAATATTAATCAATATTATCCAACATACAGTCAAACCTTGTTATCTCGAACTTGATGGAACCGAGAAAAACTTCGATTTATTAAAGGGTTCGAGACATCGAAGGTAAAATACTAGTACTTAAGAAATAAGTGGTTAGGACTTCCCAATCACTTCGACATATCCATGGTATTCAAGGTATCCATGTTCGAGATACCGAAGTTCAACTGTATTTTTCTTGATAACTGGATGGTGAAAAGGAAGGTTGTTATTTCAACTTTTTTTTTTAATGAAATTGAATTCACATCAGCTGAGCTATTAAACCAGAACAAGTATTATTTAAAAATTTTCAATAATTTTTATTTTTTTTTTAATTCAAAATTTGAATAGCACAGGGCAGGTGTGATCGGTCGGCAGGGGATGCTCACTCCTCCATGGCACCTGATCCCACCTCTGACATTTTAGAGGCCCATGTCTCTGCTCCTGATTTGTATTGTTTAATGGACATTTGAGCTTGAATATATACTGTTTGTTATCTCCATATATTTCGGTACAATATTAGGGTTTTCCACTCTTTTTCATAAACTTCCATTACACTTTCAGTATTATTTAGTATTCATACATTATTGATGAAGGGAGCAGATATCAATTATATTTCAGTATACAGTCAAACTTGGAACTCAATGGGACCAAGTAAAAACTTCGATATCAGAGAGTTCAAAATATGGAGGGTAAAATACCTAAAGAGCTAGGGATTTCCAAATCGATTTGAAATATTGACGGTGTTTAAGATATCTGTGTTTGATATACCAAAGTTCAGCCGTAGTAACTCATAGATATCTTACCTCATGAAGGACTCTGTGTATTGATAAAATTCTATGTTTACATTGGGTGAGCTATGTTTACATTGGGTGGGCTATGTTTACATTGGGTGGGCTATGTTTACATTGGGTGAGCTATGTTTACATTGGGTGGGCTATGTTTATATTGGGTGAGCTATGTTTACATTGGGTGGGCTATGTTTACATTGGGTGAGCTATGTTTACATTGGGTGGGCTATGTTTACATTGGGTGAGCTATGTTTACATTGAGTGAGCTATGTTTACATTGGGTGAGCTATGTTTACATTGGGTGAGCTACATATATAAAAAGACCCATATTTTATCCCTACTTTCCCCCTTTTACCAGATGTTTTACCAAATTAATATAATTATTTTCTACTTAAAACAAAGTATGACAAAGGTCACAGTTATCATCTTTCTATTATGATACAAGCCCCTCCTTATCAAATGGTCCCAACTGACCAAACAGCAAGAAGAATCTGTGTCAATGTTAAATATTATTTATTAACTGGATTTCCTGTTATAAAAAAAGAAAAGAAAAGTAAAACTATTGGTAGTTGTATAGCAAATTTAAAATATATTTATAATTATTTATATATATACATGTATTACGCTGAAGACATAAATCAACTGTCAATCAAGAACAATTCATGTATGTAATTCAATATACAAGAATAGAACAATTAATTTGCAGTAAATAAAGCTACCTATAAAAAATATAGTTATTGCACTCTGTAATTGGAACAGTCTCTCCAACACACTCTTTCCTATGTAAATTAAAAAAAACAAAACAATGGTAATATGACAATTTGTGTATTACCTGTATAAATTTTTATTACATAAAAATCATTAAACATTTAAAATCGTTCAAAAATTAATAATAAAAAAAATAATCACAAAAAATCATGGCCATTTAGCATGATAGAAAACGTAAAATCACACAATCATAAGAATGTGAGGTTTTCTTACTTGGTTTTACATAACTTATAATCAACAATTTAACAACTTTATATGTAGATAATAACTTTTTTTAAAAAAAATTCATAACAATGCTATGAAGGCGGAATGTTCAGTTAGGTTCGATAATGATCCAAGTTTTTTATGGGTGGATCATATGTTCAATAAGAATTGCTAGTGATCCAAGTTCTGTGCAGGTAGATATTAATGTAGACAATTAAAGGGGTAATATAGAAATATTTGGGATCCTTGAAAAATTCCATATTGGACAAGGTGAGGTGTAAGCCGATTTTTCTTCAAAATTTCATAAAAATATATATACAGTTGAACTTCGGTATCTTGAACAGAACATGGATATCTCAAATACCATGGATATGTCGAAGTGATTTGGAAGTCCCAACCACTTATTTCTTCAATCAGTTTTTTACCCTGGATATCTCATATCCTTGGATATCTTGGAAGTATTTTCTTGGTCTCATCGAGTTCGAGATAACGAGGTTTGACTGATATATATTTATATCAAGAGCTGGTAAGAGAATTGATCACAAGTATACCCCATATATGATGAATAACAACAGATTAAGATTTAGGTGACCAAATTAAAAGTATTTGTCAAAAAATTTTCAATATCATATTAACACTTGTGTAAATGCCAATACATTTATACAAAGAACAGTCATTTTCAAACCATACAATCAAATCACATTCATGTACAGATAATAACCGTTCGTAAAACAATGATTTAAAGTTAACAAAAAGCTGAGGAGCAGCCAATGGTAGAAACTACAGTAAACCAAGTTCCACATAGTTACTGCACCGTAAATTAGCATGTTGCAAATGGAGTGAAAATATAAAGTCATGATCTAGATTTGACCAGTTTTTTTTTTATTACTAGTAATTTTTTAATATAATCATTTATAAGCTCATTAACAACTTCCCCTGAATATTAAGTTCATGAGTACAAAATACTGTTGCCTAGCATATAAATAATTTATGGCACCTCAAACTTTTAGTAAAATGTTATTGATAGTGTAACATTTCTATAAAACTTAACAAACAATTTTATATTCATTAATGTTATTGTTTTCATACATGACCTTCAGTGATTCAAAAATCTTCAAATACCTGCCTTCAACATATTTTGTACAAGTCCAGAACAAAATTTAAAAAATAAAAATTTTAGGTAACAGGTAACAGGTTGGTGTCAAAGATCTCATTCACCACCCACTTCCCACTTGTTTCTGTATCGGGGGGGGGGGGGGGGGGGGGGGGGGGGGGGGGATCTGAAGATCTGGGTGTATTATTCTATAGGCGGTCAGGATTAGATGCACATTTCATTCTATGGGGATGATGTCATTCACCACCGTGTGAAGTTCCTGTATTGCTGGTATGTCTGTCTGTAGTACACCTGATAATTTTGAAATAACCCCCTTCACCTCCTGCAGAAATATGGGCTCTGTCAAAAATAATTAAAAATGAAAAAAAAATACATGTAGATTAATATCACAAAAAAATTATGAAAATATGGGAAATGCTCTAGTGCTGTTAATACTGAATGATGGATGGTAAGACACACCTGATAACAGAGACAGGATATGCTGGTTCTGGAACACAGAGGTCAAACAGGTCAAGGCCACCTTAAGGACATCAAGGCTGTATTTACCAAACATACAGTTCATGACCTCAAGGACACTCTTCTGAACAAGGTCATGAAAGAGAGATCTAAAATAGCAAATTTAACATCAATTAATATGGAAACACTTAAAAATATACAACACAGTACTTCAGTGTACACAGTTAAGAAACTTCTATACACTTCTAATTACATAGTGTTTTTTTGCTATTACTTTATAATCTCCCCTTTGATTTAAAATATCAATTATTTGACATTTCTATTTAATACCTTTCATGTATCTGTTGCCATCAATTATTGGACTAACCTGTATCTAATGGCCTTAGTTATTGGACTTACCTTTATCTGATGGCATCAGTTATTGAACAAACCATATCTGATGGCATCAGTTATGGTCTTACCTCTATCTGCTGGCATCAACTATTAGACTAACCTGTATCTAAAGGTGTCAGTTATTGGACTAACCTGTATCTGATGGTGTCAGTTATTGGACTAACCTCTATCTGCTGGCATCAGTTATTGGACTAACCTGTATCTAATGGTGTCAGTTATTGGACTAACCTGTATCTGATGGCATCAGTTATTGGACTAACCTGTATCTGCTGGCATCAGTTATTGGACTAACCTGTATCTGATGGTGCCAGATATTGGACTAACCTGTATCTGCTGGCATCAGTTATTGGACTAACCTGTATCTGATGGTGCCAGTTATTGGACTAACCTGCATTTGATGGTGTCAGTTATTGGACTAACGTGTATCTGATGTGTCAGTTATTGGACTAACCTGTATCTGCTGGTGTCAGTTATTGGACTAACCTGTATCTGGTGGTGCCAGTTATTGGACTAACCTTTATCTGATGGCATCAGTTATTGGACTAACCTGTATCTGATGGTGCCATTTATTGGACTAACCTGTATCTGATGGTGTCAGTTATTGGACTAACCTGTATCTGATGGTGCCATTTATTGGACTAACCTGTATCTGATGGTGTCAGTTATTGGACTAACTTGTATCTGATGGTGTCAGTTATTGGACTAACCTGTATGTGATGTGTCAGTTATTGAATTAACCTGTATCTGCTGGTGTCAGTTATTGAACTAACCTGTATCTGATGGTGCCAGTTATTGGACTAACCTGTATCTGATGGCATCAGTTATTGGACTAACCTGTATCTGATGGTGCCAGTTATTGGACTAACCTGTATCTGATGGCATCAGTTATTGGACTAACCTGTATCTGCTGGTGCCAGTTATTGAACTAACCTGTATCTGCTGGTGTCAGTTATTGGACTAACCTGTATCTGCTGGTGTCAGTTATTGGACTAACCTGTATCTAATGGTGTCAGTTATTGGACTAACCTGTATCTGCTGGTGTCAGTTATTGGACTAACCTGTATCTGCTCGTGTCAGTTATTGGACTAAGCTGTATCTGCTGGTGTCAGTTATTGAACTAACCTGTATCTGCTGGTGTCAGTTATTGGACTAACCTGTATCTGATGGTGTCAGTTATTGGACTAACCTGTATCTGATGGCATCAGTTATTGGACTAACCTGTATCTGATGGCATCAGTTATTGGCCAGGACTAACCTGTATCTGATGGCATCAGTTATTGGACTAACCTGTATCTGATGTGTCAGTTATTGGACTAAGTTATACTCTGGTGTCAGTTATTGGACTAACCTGTATCTGATGGTGTCAGTTATTGGACTAACCTGTATCTGATGGCATCAGTTATTGGACTAACCTGTATCTGATGGCATCAGTTATTGGACTAACCTGTATCTGATGGCATCAGTTATTGGACTAACCTGTATCTGATGGCATCAGTTATTGGACTAACCTGTATCTGATGGCATCTATGGTGCTGATGAGAAATGCTGTATCAAGGTCCATCAAGGTTTTACTGTCGTTGTACTGAGATTTGACATATGCCTGTAACCCTTGTGGTGCCCCACTGACCTCTAAAAGACTGTGCAGTGGTTTGTCAATGACAGAAAGAGCCTGAGCATCTTTTCCTTCAAACACCAAAGAGCTGATGTGGTGAGTCACCTTAAAGGTGAAAAAAGTGTTTGAAATTGATGTTTGAATATTGACTATTTTAATGTCTTCCCGGCTAATTGTCTAAAGTTCACTAATCTGCAGATAATTCTGAAAACATGAACCAAAACTTTCTACTATAAATTTGATCGTAAGATTGAAATTTGATTCTTGCCTACTGAGACAGTTTGTTTCATAAGACATTTAAATTCAGAGAGTTACAACACTGCTAAAAATATCTGTTTTTCCATTGATACCTGTGCCCTGATGACCTTTGTACATAACGACACGTCTGACACGGAGTATCGTAACACTCCCGACTCTTGACCTGACTTATTCTTCCTCAACTGAACTTCATCTTCACAAGTCTGTCCATTCTCTTGTGTCCCGAGGCCGTTAGTCCGAGACCAATCCATTGGAACATAATCTTCCTCCTCTGTAGAATCCTGTGAAATCAGAGACAGAGTCTTACTCGTGTCCTGTGGGTTTGGAGACTGAGTCTTACTCGTGTCCTGTGGGTTTGGAGACTGAGTCTTACTCGTGTCCTGTGGGTATGGAGACTGAGTCTTACTCGTGTCCTGTGGGTTTGGAGACTGAGTCTTACTCATGTCCTGTGGGTTTGGAGACCCAGTGTTATTTGTGTCCTGTGGAATTGGAGACTGAGTTTTACTTGTGTCTGATGATTCTTGCAAAGACTGATCTAACACACCATTATCCTCTTTCCTGCCATATTCACTTAGTTTGTTTGTCTGGCATTCGTTAATAGAACACACTTTGGAACTCCCATCATTATTTCTGTTTGTGTCTTCATTTTCCCCTGCTGGAATATCATTCACATCAAACATTGGGTCAGGTTGACAAATGGGCTCGGAGTTGCGTACATGACCTCTACAATTTACAGTAGGACAAAATATGGACACTGGGTTGCTAAGGGTGGGGTTGGTTGCTATGGTGATGTCAGTTTGACCACACTTAGCGACCACCTCCTGTATCTCCCCCCTCCCACTCACGTTAATTTTCATTTCCGATGTATACCTTCTCTCGAGTGTTTTATCGCCTTCTGATTTTTTCCGTCGCATTTGAACACTCTCTATTTGGGAATCATTTTCTGAATTGTTTCCAGTTTCCTGAGATGAGGCAGATTTTAATCTCAGAGCTTCAACAGCTTCTTCACTCAAAATAACAGTCTCTTGTACTTCTAACCTTGCCTTGACCTCCGGGGTCTGAAGGTCAAGGTCAGACTCTTCCTCGTCCTCTGAGCTGGTCATGGAGTCTAGGGGTTCTTTGTCTGCGAAGTGGACTTTGCGATCCAGTGCAGCCATATAACCCTTCTCTTCTGTCTTTTTAAGAATTCCTGCAGGTTCCTCTTCCTGGTCATTAGACACAAACATTTTGGGTGTGGTCAAAGTCTCTGTTAACTCATGGCTTTCCTCATCTCGTGTTGATTTAGACAGAGCTTGTAACTTTTTCTTTTGCCTTTTGAAAAAAAAAAACATAATAAAAAATTAGTTAAAATTAGATAAATGTTTTCAAAGTTTCATATCCTCTCCTTAAACCTTCCTCATAAAAAGAGAAATGTCTTTTAATTAATATATAACTGTCTGTTTGTAATTAGAACAGATTTTATTGACACTTGTGATCAGCCCTACATGAACTGCGTCATTTTTGAGTAGTTGTAGAGGAAGCGCCTGCCCTCAGTCTTCACGTCCAGGTTGTTTGGGTATTCCTGTAGTACGGACTGGATCACGGGGACAGCGTGCTGGAAGATGTGTCGCAGTAACGCGTCGTATCTCTCCACAGCTTCCTCAACCTCCGGTGAAGATTCCGTGTCTGTCCACCAGAAAGAGAAAAGATTAAATACATAAACATCTGCTACTGTTTGATAACATCTGCTACTGTTTGATAACATGAGGCTCATGATCCACAACACTCCTCTCCTTGACATCTTTAGATGAAGATTCATAAAGATGCTTTCCTCCTCTATGTTACAGTGTAAAATTTTGACTTAATATTTTGAATTATTTACCCCACAACTCAAAGCCTGACTAAGTGGGATAGCTTATACAACATCAATGTGACCTAGCTGTTTAAGATTTTCCAAAATGTTTCCAAATAATGCATATGCACATTATGTTAAATTTAAATTTGATTCCCCATTATAGCTTCACCCCATGTAAAATTTTGAATACTTATTTTACCCCATTTCAGCCCCAGGGGTCATAATTTAAACAAATATAAATCTGCACTCATTAATTAAGATAAAAAAATACATTTCCTTAATTTTCTGGTCCAACGATTCTTAAGCAGCAGATTTTTAAATGACCTCACCCTGTTTACTCCGTTTCTAAGTCAACTCCTTTTGAAAGCAAGTACAGCACTCCAATCAAACAAACTTGTCGAATGAATTCCCAATTCATGGATACTTTTTGGCAAATTTGATATAAATTTATTCAGTGACTGACTGGTTGTGGTAAAGAAATGAAAATGTGAAAAGTTAATTAATAATAATTACTGTAGATTCCTTATTTTACGCGAGTTTTTAATATCACTATATGACTGGTCAACTCCAAATCGCAAAATCATTAATTTTTGAATGGCCTGTTAATTGTTAATGGCCAGCTAATACAGAAAAAAGATTATTTTACATAACCCGCATATTTTTCCACAACAGCTGCAACATTAATTCCAATACTAACAATCAAAGAAAGCATTTTATTGTTTAAATAAACAAGTAATTTTATTTCGAGAGTTGTGATTCTCGCAAAATTATGAAATAATAAATTCCTTGCGTATATTTAGGAACCAACAGTAACACGACACACAACAGACAATCTTCATTGACAAAGAGAGAAGATCATTCGAGCCTTTGGCTCAGGTGAGCTTAAATCATGTCTTATGACTACTAAATATTAGTCAGATAAGAACACACCTGGACTAGCAATAACACAAACTAGAACAAATTTTACTTACAGATCTACACAAATAGAAAGGGACTTTGTTAGTTCTCTAGGTACCCTGTTTAGGAACAAAGTAGCTCAAGGTAAAATAAAATGTACAGTCACAAGACTAGGGAGCTAAAGGTCATAGAAAATGTACAGTCACAGGACTACGGAGCTAAAGGTCATAGAAAATGTACAGTCACAAGACTAAGGAGCTAAAGGTCATAGAAAATGTACAGTCACAAGACTACGGAGCTAAAGGTCATAGAAAATGTACAGTCACAAGACTAGGGAGCTAAAGGTCATAGAAAATGTACAGTCACAAGACTACGGAGCTAAAGATCATAGAAAATGTACAGTCACAAGACTACGGAGCTAAAGGTCATAGAAAATGTACAGTCACAAGACTAGGGAGCTAAAGGTCATAGAAAATGTACAGTCACAAGACTAGGGAGCTAAAGGTCATAGAAAATGTACAGTCACAGGACTACGGAGCTAAAGGTCATAGAAAATGTACAGTCACAAGACTAGGGAGCTAAAGGTCATAGAAAATGTACAGTCACAAGACTAGGGAGCTAAAGGTCATAGAAAATGTACAGTCACAGGACTACGGAGCTAAAGGTCATAGAAAAGGTACAGTCACAAGACTAGGGAGCTAAAAGTCATAGAAAATGTAGAGTCTCTGAAATAAGGCTTGGTGAATTACCTGTGGAGAGGAAGTTGTCGAGATTTTCCTGAAGGCTACACGTGAGATTGACGAGGGTCCTACAGCCTGGGGGGACAATGAGGATATTCTTCTGGTGGCGCTGAATAGATCGAAGGATCATCTCTAGGGCCGTTTCTCGCAGGGGAATCTACAAGGTCAAATAGAAGTCAAAGGGTACATATATAAGTCTACAACAAGGTCAAATAGAGGTTAGAGAGGGTAAATAATTAAGTTCACAACAAGGTCATAAAGTGGTCAATTAACCAACAGAATCTACATAGGGATCAAATGAAGGACAAAGGATAAATAGCAGAACCTAAACCAAATTAAAAATAAGGAGAATTTACAGGTCAACTAGATGCCATGTGATACTTTACTTACAATGTCCATTGATAAATAAAATGTAATCTTCTGAAAAATGACAGCAGTAGAACATCTTGCCCTCTTTCTACTTTTGCTTATTTGCACTTATCTCATTTGACAAGTGAATAAATTCATCATTATGAAACAAAACAAATCAATCCAAAGTGGTCTTTCTGAAGCATGGGTAATCTAGATAACCAAATTTCAGATCAGCGAATATTATTATTATTATTCTACTTTCATATAGCGCCTTATTTAATATTACAATTATCCTAAAGAGCTTAACAAGTAAAAATGAGTACAATATAAAACAAAGAATGGTAAATAAATCATAGAATCATAGAAAAATAACACCAGATTAAAGTTCATATAAGAATTAAAATTTAAAGATTTAAAAAAAAAAAATTTTTTTTTAATATAAGAATAAAAATCAACTGGATGCTTAGTTAGTGTCTTATAAATTAAAATCAAGTTTAAAAAGATGTGTTTTTAGCTTTTGTTTAAAAACGACAAGTGACTGTTCACTCTGAAGGTCCAACGGGAGGCCATTCCACAGGGTGGCTGAGGATACATCAAACCTTCTATTATCTATATTAAATAAGACAATGTCTCATGCTTAAAAAATATTCACTAAGATTCCTTGGTTTCACATTCAAAATGCAAGTACATGTACATGAAATTTGCACTATCTTAAGTCAGGAAGTTAAAATGCACCTCTAAATTCATCATTCATGCAAGTTTGGTACAGGCAGGGCTTACATGTATATTAACTTGGGAATTGATCTACTTAAAAAAAAATTAAAAAATATAATAATATATTAGGGCACTCCTCCAGAAAATGTAGGTCAGATAACTCATCTTAAGTAAGTGTGGCAGTGTTGCCTCCCTTAGATGTATCATCCCTGCAGGTTTGGTTCAGGTAGTACTTACAGTTAATTGAGAAAAAATGAACCTGCTCCTAAAACTTAAACCCTGTGACACAAACACTGGGTATAAATAAAGCATCAACTCAGCTTTGTGGAGTTAAGTAAAGGGGAAAATTATCTCTCAATAATGAAAGTTAAAGAAATAATCAAAGAACAAAACTTTTTGAAGTCTGTAATCATTATAAAGGAACAAATATGAGTTACTTTTTCAGCTGGTTTGGGGTGGTAGGTGGCTATTTAAAGAGAATTGTTGAGTTACTTTTTCAGCTGGTTTGGGGTGGTAGGTGGCTATTTAAAGAGAATTGTTGAGTTACTTTTTCAGCTGGTTTGGGGTGGTAGGTGGCTATTTTTAGAGAATTGTTGAGTTACTTTTTCGGCTGGTTTGGGGTGGTAGGTGGCTATTTTTAGAGAATTGTTGAGTTACTTTTTCGGCTGGTCTGGGGCGGTAGGTGGCTATTCTGGCCAGTATGTCCAGTCCGTACTGTTGGATCTCCGTGACGTCCAGATATACAGCCATACAACCCAACACTGCTGGCGCGGCCTGACAGTTCACCATGACAACCAAGTTATCAGAAAAATGGCTGAATGTCCGCAACAGTTGTAGGCTTAACACAACATGAGACAGGGGGTCCTGGGTCAAAAAAATTAATAGAATTCATTAATATAAACTTATGATGATAAGCACATGTTGTATGACTGAGTATTGAAGACTTACCATGATTTGTCTGAGTAGCTGGTATGACTGAGTATAGAAGACTTACAATGATTTGTCTGAGTAGCTGGTATGACTGAGTATAGAAGACTTACCATGATTGTCCGAGTAGCTGGTATGTCTGAGTATAGGAGACTTACCATGATTTGTCTGAGTAGCTGGTATGACTGAGTATAGAAGACTTACCATGATTTGTCCGAGTAGCTGGTATGACTGAGTATAGAAGACTTACCATGATTGTCTGAGTAGCTGGTATGTCTGAGTATAGGAGACTTACCATGATTTGTCTGAGTAGCTGGTATGTCTGAGTATAGAAGACTTACCATGATTGTCTGAGTAGCTGGTATGTCTGAGTATAGAAGACTTACCATGTTTTGTCTGAGTAGCTGGTATGACTGAGTATAGAAGACTTACCATGATTGTCTGAGTAGCTGGTATGTCTGAGTATAGGAGACTTACCATGATTTGTCCGAGTAGCTGGTATGTCTGAGTATAGGAGACTTACCATGATTTGTCCGAGTAGCTGGTATGTCTGAGTATAGGAGACTTACCATGATTTGTCCGAGTAGCTGGTATGTCTGAGTATAGGAGACTTACCATGTTTTGTCTGAGTAGCTGGTATGTCTGAGTATAGAAGACTTACCATGATTGTCTGAGTAGCTGGTATGTCTGAGTATAGAAGACTTACCATGATTGTCTGAGTAGCTGGTATATCTGAGTATAGGAGACTTACCATGTTTTGTCTGAGTAGCTGGTATGTCTGAGTATAGAAGACTTACCATGATTGTCTGAGTAGCTGGTATGTCTGAGTATAGAAGACTTACCATGATTGTCTGAGTAGATGGTATGTCTGAGTATAGAAGACTTACCATGTTTTGTCTGAGTAGCTGGTATGTCTGAGTATAGAAGAATTACCATGATTGTCTGAGTAGCTGGTATGTCTGAGTATAGAAGACTTACCATGATTGTCTGAGTAGCTGGTATGTCTGAGTATAGAAGAATTACCATGATTGTCTGAGTAGCTGGTATATCTGAGTATAGGAGACTTACCATGATTTGTCTGAGTAGCTGGTATGTCTGAGTATAGGAGACTTACCATGATTTGTCTGAGTAGCTGGTATGTCTGAATATAGGAGACTTACCATGGTTTGTCTGAGTAGCTGGTATGACTGAGTATAGAAGACTTCCCATGATTTGTCCGAGTAGCTGGTATTTCTGAGTATAGGAGACTTACCATGATTTGTCTGAGTAGCTGGTATGACTGAGTATAGGAGACTTACCATGATTTGTCCGAGTAGCTGGTATGTCTGAGTATAGGAGACTTACCATGATTTGTCTGAGTAGCTGGTATGACTGAGTATAGAAGACTTATCATGATTTGTCTGAGTAGCTGGTATGTCTGAGTATAGGAGACTTACCATGATTTGCCTGAGTAGTTCCACTAGCAGTCTGACAGAGGGTTTGTGAAGCGGTCGATCTCGTTCAGACTCGGGCATCTCCTCAAGAGTCTGAGATATCTCAGTGATGTACGCCACTATCACAGCACGCTGGTAACCCGCTACTTCCTGTGTCGAAAGAGTCCAACACTTCAATACAGGACAATAAACATCAGGTTGTCTGACTGATTTACATTAACCAAGAAGTCTCTAAGGAGACTGTAGCTCTACTGGTGTGTACTTATAATAAAGATGTATCTTAGAGTATAGAGTACTTGTGTACAAAGTCTCACTAAAATTGGACCAGAACTGTAGGTGTAGAGTTTTGCAAGATATATTTCAAAGAAATTTTTATTTTAGTAAGCATGACAACATTTGTCGAAATCAAAAAACTGATAAACACAATTATTATATAGCTAATATTTAGCTAATAAATAGTGTCTAATAAAAAACTACTAAAAATCTAGAGAATTTAAGTGTTCAATATCTTGGTGTTTTATTGACTGCTAAGGTTGTACTACGTATACGAGTATGCCCGAAACATTCCGAATATGAGCGTTCAATATCGAACGCCCCATTGTAAACAAAAACTGTTGTCTGGTCAATCTCTCAAAGGCAAATTAAAGAAAGGAAGTGGCAACTAGGTAAGATGTGATGTTGAACACTTACAAGACAGGCGTTTATTTGAATACTGATACTAATACATGTAAAATCATTAATTTGAGTTTTTTAGTTGGAATAATTACGGTATCATAAATTATGAGGAAATGTTTTAGCTATATAATAAAGGATATACTGAACTTATATTGGTGAATATTGGCACTCATTGGCTTTACAAATGCACTCGCAAGCTCCTGCATTTGTACAGCCAAATACTGCCAATATTCACCAATATAAGTTCAATAACCCTATATTATATACCTTAGTATATCTTCTTGTGTACATGTATGAAGTCTTCTTGAAATTGGGCTTAAACCATAGCAGGAGTAACTTTTTGAAAGAATTTCATAAAAATTTCTCAAACTCTTACTGAAAACTTAGTGTTTTAAAAGGATTTCAAAGACACTTCTATTTTCAGTAACCATGGCAACACTGTTTGTTGAAACCAAAATCTGTAATGAAGCATTTTGTATCTTGGTATACTCTATTTGTGTACCAAGTTATATTGAAATTGAACCAAAATGTTGGAAGAGTAGGGTTTTGAAAGAATTTCATCAAAATTTCTACTTTTCATAACCATGACAACATTTCATTTGTCAAAATCAAATACCAGATTAAATGCAGAGGATTATGTGTCTCACTATAGTTTAATACTAGTGTGTCAAGTCTTATTGAAATTGGACCAAAACTGTAGGAGGAGTAGCTTTTTGAAATATTTTTCAAAGAAATTTCTACTTTTTGTAACCAAGACAACACCTTTTGTAAAAACCAAAATATGTAAAAATGAGTTGTATCCTCTTAGTATACTGCACATGACAAACCTGTAGGAAAGAGAAGATTTGGTCGGTGATTGCTGATGACAGTTTGGTATCTGTGTACTGGTTGATCTGTTTAGTCAGAAAGCTCGCGGCCAGGTCTGCCAGCTATAAAATTAAACAAATTATGAACATCATCAAAAAACTCTGCAGTAGGACTAACAACTACAAAATCAATAATAACAGTATATAGAGGCTTATGACAGGAAACTTTCAGTGAGGTCTGCCAGCTTTATAATTATAAACAGAATTAACAAAAACACTATTCAAGGTCTAAATACTAATTCTAACCTTAAATCTGTTGATTTGATGTTGGCGAGAAGTTCAGGGTCTATAATTCTAACACTCTGACCTTGTCTGTTGACTTGATGTTGGTGAGAAGTTCAGGGTCTATAATTCTATTATCTGATATTGTCTGTTGATTTGATGTTGGCGAGAAGTTCAGGGTCTATAATTCTAACACTCGACCTTGTCTGTTGACTTGATGTTGGTGAGAAGTTCAGGGTCTATAATTCTATTATCTGACATTGTCTGTTGATTTGATGTTGGCGAGAAGTTCAGGGTCTATAATTCTAACACTCTGACCTTGTCTGTTGGTTTGATGTTGGGGAGAAGTTCAAGGTCTATAATTCTAACACTCTGACCTTGTCTGTTGGTTTGATGTTGGGGAGAAGTTCAAGGTCTATAATTCTAACACTCTGACCTTGTCTGTTGGTTTGATGTTGGTGAGAAGTTCAAGGTCTATAATTCTAACACTCTGACATTGTCTGTTGATTTGATGTTGGGGAGAAGTTCAGGGTTTATAATTCTAGTATCTGACATTGTCTGTTGATTTGGTGTTGGCGAGAAGTTCAGGGTCTATAATTCTATTATCTGACATTGTCTGTTGATTTGGTGTTGGCGAGAAGTTCAGGGTCTATTTCTAACACTCGACCTTGTCTGTTGATTTGATGTTGGTGAGAAGTTCAGGGTCTATAATTCTATTATCTGACATTGTCTGTTGATTTGATGTTGGCGAGAAGTTCAGGGTTTATAATTCTATTATCTGACATTGTCTGTTGATTTGATGTTGGGGAGAAGTTCAAGGTCTATAATTCTATTATCTGACATTGTCTGTTGATTTGATGTTGGTGAGAAGTTCAGGGTCTATAATTCTATTATCTGATATTGTCTGTTGATTTGATGTTGGGGAGAAGTTCAGGGTCTATAGTTCTAACACTCTGACCTTGTCTGATGATTTGATGTTGGTGAGAAGTTCAGGGTCTATAATTCTAACACTCTGACCTTGTCTGTTGATTTGATGTTGGTGAGAAGTTCAGGGTCTATAATTCTAACACTCTGACCTTGTCTGTTGATTTGATGTTGGGGTGAAGTTCAGGGTCTATAATTCTATTATCTGACATTGTCTGTTGATTTGGTGTTGGGGAGAAGTTCAGGGTCTATAATTCTAACACTCTGACCTTGTCTGTTGATTCGATGTTGGGGTGAAGTTCAGGGTCTATAATTCTATTATCTGACATTGTCTGTTGATTTGATGTTGGGGTGAAGTTCAGGGTCTATAATTCTATTATCTGACATTGTCTGTTGATTTGGTGTTGGCGAGAAGTTCAGGGTCTATAATTCTATTATCTGACATTGTCTGTTGATTTGGTGTTGGCGAGAAGTTCAGGGTCTATTTCTAACACTCGACCTTGTCTGTTGACTTGATGTTGGGGAGAAGTTCAGGGTCTATAATTCTATTATCTGACATTGTCTGTTGATTTGGTGTTGGCGAGAAGTTCAAGGTCTATAATTCTATTATCTGACCTTGTCTGTTGACTTGATGTTGGGGAGAAGTTCAGGGTCTATAATTCTATTATCTGACATTGTCTGTTGATTTGATGTTGGTGAGAAGTTCAGGGTCTATAATTCTATTATCTGACCTTGTCTGTTGATTTGAACACTCTCACCTTGTCTGTTGATTTGATGTTGGTGAGAAGTTCAGGGTCTATAATTCTAACACTCTCGTCTTGTCTGTTGATTTGATGTTGGTGAGAAGTTCAGGGTCTATAATTCTAACACTTTCGCCTTGTCTGTTAATTTGATGTTGGTGAGAAGTTCAGGGTCTATAATTTCTAACACTCTCGTCTTGTCTGTTGATTTGATGTTGGTGAGAAGTTCAGGGTCTATAATTCTAACACTCTCGCCTTGTCTGTTAATTTGATGTTGGTGAGAAGTTCAGGGTCTATAATTCTAACACTTTAACCTTGTCTGTTGATTTGATGTTTATGAGAAGTTCGGGGTCTTTAATTCTAGTATCTGACCTTGTCTATTGATTTGATGTTGGTAAGAAGTTCAGGGTCTGTAATTCTAACACTCTGACCTTGTCTGTTGATTTGACTTGGTGTGAAGCTCAGGGTGTATAATTCTAACATTCTCACCTTGTCTGTTGATTTGATGTTGGTGAGGAGTTCAGGGTCTATAAACGGCACTGGTGTCTTCTCTTTTTCTTTTTCCACTTCCTTCAAACAAACAAAAGAAAATCCTGATTAAAGTAGGCCATTGCTTACTCAGATATTTTCACTTCATACCCTCCCCAAAACACATTAAAGACTGATTTAACAGTTTGAATTTCTAATCATCCAAACATGTTTTCCTTCTACAAATAAAAGCATTACACCTTCCAAAACAGAGACATTGAAGTTAGCAAGCCTGTCTGTCTGGTTCAATGTCATGCAAGGAAACTTCGCAATGAGAAATTTTGTCTAATCCATAGATGTGGTAAGTTTGATGCTGTTAACCTAAAGAAGGGTCATGTCCTTGTCTCAACCTCATATCTCAAAGATTAAGGTATTTGTCAATGAGATGTTGAAAAATCCCTATACCTAGTTTTGAAGTTGATTTAATAATTTATTCAATACCCTATATGTTGCATCCTTGACTTAAGAGAGGATGTGGTCAAGGTCCATGTTGAATGATCATTCACATATAGACATTCTATGTTAGATGATCATTTGGTTGAAGCTCACTGTATAACTTACCAGTATTGTCTCCCCATCTCTCTTGGGTTTAGGAGGGGGTGAGGACTTGACCGTGATCCCAGGGGTAGGTGGTAGTTTTCTGCTTGGGATACCTCCCTGATAAATCCTAAGGGTCCTGTCTGCCACTTCTATAGGGACACCTATAAATAAACTTCTCTTTTACAACACATTACCAAGCTCATAAGAGTTACGGTTTGATGTAAAATAATTTTACATAAGAAATTATCATGATTACAAATCAGGTAAACTATGCTATGTATGTTTTAGGATTGATTTCAGAATAGTACCTGCTTTACTTAGCACTACTCTAACTGAGGTTACGAGCTGATAATTATTCATCAACTGTTGATTTCTGCTTTCTATTGACATTCTCATGGTATATTCACCACTTATGAGGTTGATTTCCCCCGTGAGGACCCCACTGTTAATCATACAGTCTACTCACCACTTATAAAGTTGATTTCCCCCGTGAGGACCCCACTGTTAATCATGAAGTCTACTCACCACTTATGAGGTTGATTTCCCCCGTGAGGTCCTCACTATTTAGAGTACAGCTCAGGTCCAGGTTGATCGGGCCCAGTACCATTCCCCCATTCTCAGTGAGAGTCAGCTGTAAAAGGGACACACAGATCCCATCAGCACTACTGTTATGGGTGGGAACAGCCCGAATGTTTCCATCTACACCAAGACCTGTGAATCAAACAAGGACAGTTTCTTAATTTATAAACTACAGCTTTGTTTTTATTTCAGAGGTTTTAAAGTGAGGCACCATAGAGTAAGCCAAGGGTAAATCACTGAAGATATGAGACAGCGGAGAATCAAACCTAAAATGCTCAAAATAGATAGTGAATGTTTCTTCATCAAGTGCCCTGACATTTACAGTAGACATTGGCCCAAAAAAAGAACCTTCACTACATCACAGTAGACATTGGCCCAAAAAAGAATCTTCACTGCATCACAGTAGACATTGGCCCAAAAAAGAATCTTAACTGCATCACAGTAGAAATTGGCCCAAAAAAGAACCTTTACTGCATCACAGTAGATATTGGCCCAAAAAAGAACCTTCACTACATCACAATAGACATTGGCCCAAAAAAGAACCTTCATTGCATCACAGTAGACATTGGAACAATAAAGAACCTTCACTACATCACAGTAGACATTGGAACAATAAAGAACCTTCACTACATCACAGTAGACATTGGAACAATAAAGAACCTTCACTACATCACAGTAGATATTAACATGATAAAGAACCTTCACTGCATCACAGTAAACACTGGAACAATAAAGAACCTTCACTACATCACAGTAGACATTGGAACAATAAAGAACCTTCACTACATCACAGTAGACATTGGAACAATAAAGAACCTACACTACATCACAGTAGACATTGGAACAATAAAGAACCTACACTACATCACAGTAGATATTAACATGATAAAGAACCTTCACTGCATCACAGTAAACACTGGAACAATAAAGAACCTTCACTACATCACAGTAGACATTGGAACAATAAAGAACCTTCACTACATCACAGTAGACATTGGAACAATAAAGAACCTACACTACATCACAGTAGACATTGGAACAATAAAGAACCTTCACTACATCACAGTAGACATTGGAACAATAAAGAACCTTCACCGATTCACAGTAAATATTGACAGGATAAAGAACCCTTACTGCTTTAGTCCTATTTACTATTTATTGGTCAAAATTTGTGGCATTTCACCTAGACATGCTAAAGCGGATGTGATGTCTCCAGATAAGTCCAAAATTCTTGAATGGGACGTAAAACAACATACAATCAATCACAGTATTCTGTATATAAGTTTAATTATTTGCTAATAATAAAAACATTTTGTACGTACTGCAGCTTCACTTCAGTATCTCGAACACCAGTATCTCAAATACCATGGATATGTCGAAGTGAGATGGAAGACCAAAACACTTTTGCTATATGAATTTTAACCTCAATATCTCGAAACTTTGGACATCTCAAAGTTTTCTCTCGATCCCATTGAGTTTGAGATATAAAGGAAGTTTGACTGCGTTTACTAAGAAATTTAAGTACTATACCAACTTTATAATGTTGTTCAACTTATTGGCCATTAAGCACTTTAAAAAACAAACATCAGAAGTTTCATGTGTAAATTTCTCCCCTCTTATTTCATTTCCAAAGGGATGGTATACACAGAAAACTTCTGTAAAAACATAAATGTTATACAAAACATTAATGTAAATAATGCAAAACATTAATGTAAAATAAAGATTATTTAGGATTTAGACACTCAATTCCATCTATGCTTGAATGGTTACCACATTAAATGTTATGGTTAAAAAGAACCATAGGTTAGGTTCTTACAATAGTGACATTTTCCGTCCTTTTGAAGGAAATGAATACTTAATTATTTGGTGTTCCTAAACCCTACTAACTTGACTAAGCTTTAACATTTTTCACAACATAAGGAAACATTTATTTCAATGGGTTTTTTTTATGATAAGTCAATTCTTTTAGATATTATTTAATAAACATTGTTAAATATTTCCTTCTACAGAAGGTTTTTATCATTTTCTTCTGGTTTCTGAATTTCCTGCTTATTAAATGCTAGAGACACGGTGTATGTATTTAATTATTCTTTATTCACTGAGGGAATGTTACTGTCTTGGATCATTCATTAACCGACTCATTCATTAAGGTCCAATAACCACTCCCACTTCGATCATCAGTTTGTCACGTTGTGTGTGTGTGTGTGTGGGGGGGGGGGGGGGGGGGAGAGTATCCTTTTTGTTTTGGAGGGAGTGGGGGTATCCTTTTATGTGATCTGTATTTTCAACACTTGTGTTTCCTTGCAGTGACTGTTATATCATGATAAAGGATTAATTTAGAAACAGTATAGAATTCTAACCACAGTGGTCATGATTTAAACAATCTGGAATCTGCACCACCTCAGTACTCACACTCCAAGCTCTTACAATGCTGAGGTTAAGGGGAAAACTACTGTAAATCACCTTTTATTCGCGAGAACTTTATTTTCGCGTAAAGACGTGAGACAGTGTACTCCTGAAAATTTCACTCTCGCATATACATATATGTATTAGTATTCCTTAAAGATTATATCGAGCAAAACCACGTTTCATGAAAATTTTGTCTCGCTAATAAACATTTAAGGAGTATCTTGCAAAAATAAGGTGTTGCGAAAATTTAGTGATCTGCAGTAGTTTAAACATTGATCCTAAGCAGCATTATTTGCCTTATATAACTGGTATTGATAAATGGTACCAAGCAATGCTAAAAAACATAAATTTTTGCCAATTTTGAGACTATAAATTTCCAATAGAAGATTACTGACTCTTAAAGCTTTCCATAATAAAAAGAATTATGATGGTTGCTTGCCTCATCATCTTTGACATTGATCAACTCGGTATATTTCTGCACACAGTACAGGTTATAATATTTAAACAGGTTGGGACCAATTGCCCAAATGCCTGTTTGGGGTTTAATATACCAAATGGGATACAAATTTACAGTGCAAAAAATTAAGCTTTTTCATTTAGCTATAAAGAAGGAAGATACAAAATTTCTTGGGGATCAATCTCACAAAATGTAGGGCCATAGCGAGCACAGCAAGCAGCACAAAGTGTCACTCACACTGTGAGACAATGCCTGGGTGAAGAGAAAATTCAGACTTTGCACATTGATCCAAATGAATTTTTTCTGCCTTAACCTCAAGTCACACAATGCAACACGAATGTATCTTGCGTCTAACCATGTTCTTGCCATAACTACAAAAGTTCCCGAATAATAAACTCACCATGCTCACCTTGGTTTACCGAATAATGCAGATAGTAGATTACACATGATCTTTAAATGGTAATGCAACTAACATCCGACATCATGTGACATAACTGTCTAGACGTTCTAAATGTCTTGTGTGATCTGAAGAGGCGATCTAAGTAAAAACTGAATAGGTATCCAGTAATTCAAAAAATTATCTGTGGTTGCTCTAACGGTCGCACAATCAGCATATTAGAAAAACTTGCTAGCTAAAAATTTATTGCATTCAATTCATCTTTAACCGAATTTACAATATTTATAGCCAAAATAATTTTTTTAAAGTAAATTTATATCTTAATATCCCGTTTGGGATATATTATATATCCCAAAGGCAGGGTTTTTTTTAGGGGTCGTAGGGGGCCTATAATAGGCCCCATTTCCAATGATAAAAAGTGTGTGTTTTTCACAATTTCATCAAAGAAAATTCCCAAAAGATGATTTGAAGCATGACATTAAAGTCAAATAATTCTAAATATTATAGAAAAAATAGCAATTACAAGTTAAACTGATTTTCAATAAGATTTATTGAATGTAAATAAGTCAATAAATGCCTTGCAAGTAAAGAAATGGCTCTTATTTGAAATTTTTCTAGAAAAATGTGAATTATGATATTTTTCCCAATTTTAACTAAATGTCGCTAATTTTTCCCAAATGGAAAGGCCAAGGCCCTTGATTTTAAGACCTAAAAAAACCCTTTAAGGGCTATTATATCCCGTTTGGGCGATTGGTGATGGTCCCAACTTGTTTCAATGCCTGTTCTACAGAAATATACCGAGTTAATCAGTGTCATAGACGGCAAGGCGATCAACCTGATAAATTTCTGTGTAGAGTCACTAACAAACCAAATTTCACCGTGCGAATACAAAAGCCTGAAAGCTGACAGCTGTGAGTTCTACATCATATATAATTGTTTACCTATGAGGAGAACCTGTCCGCGTCCATGGACCGTGACGATGAAATCATGCGTGACATCTCTAATTGTATACAAATCTTTTCTTTTCCCAGAATCTGTCATTTTATCATTTCCTTCATCTCGCCTCTATAATCTATTTTTCCTCGTATCAGTCACATGTTTGAAATTTCCCTTCTTTTGCTGAAGAGCTACTTTCAATTTCGTTGGTGGGAAATTCTCGAAATTTGAAAAAATTAAAATATATCTAGGCCTACTGTATATGAAAACGGCTAATAAAATCTGCTTTCTCCCGGAGTGTAAAAGAAAATCTATTTCAATTCATTTCAATTCAATTCTTTATTGGCACTAAAGCACATTATAAAAGAATGTGTTGTTAGCCATATACATATATATGTATACATTAATAATTACAAAATATTAAACTTAACTGTACAGCAAGCTTGTTTCTAACATTAAAAGAGTCTCTGATATACAGACAGATTTGTTGTGTAGATACAAGGTTATGTGGATTAAGCAAACAAGATAAGGTATTAAACATCTAATAGTTTAGATTATATACATATATATATAATTTTTATGACATGTTCATACACATGACAATCAAGTAAAAAATGTTTTTTATCTTCAACAATACTTTTACAATGGAAACAAAATCTATTTTCTCTAGGAATGACAGGATTACAATATCAACCTGTTTCTACATACAACTGATGTGCACTTATTCTTAATTTGGTAAGATAAGAAAATATATTCTTATGAAGTGGAAGACATAAAATATGGATGGACTTAATTCTAGTTTTTTAACATCATGGTTAAATAATGTACTATAAAATGAAAGCTTACCGCATCGGGTGTTGATACGTTGAAGTTCAGAGAAGAATTTATTTTCAAAGAAATTTTTAAGTTTAGGACCAAACATTTTAAATTCTGTGTCAAAGTTAAAATTTAACATCTTCTGTATTGATTTTATACAATTTGCCAACATTTTTTTTTTTAATTTTCACTAGCCAATTGTGTATCTTCCAAGCAAGCATTCCTTAGTACAACGTTGTAATTATCATTTGATTTTGTAATTTTTTCCAATCTGGAATAGTATTTAAAAGCAAGCTGAAAGATTTTGGCATGTACGAGGGTTGTCCCAAAATTCATATCTATTGCAGATATCAACGTATCTCAATATAATTTTGTGGGTGTATAAAGTGTGTTTTTAGCTGATAAATTACGGAGTTTTAACATAATTACTTGAAAAACGTACGTCAAAAGATACGTCACCGGTTCAAATTTTCGGGGGAAATGCACTACGCAGTACAGTTAAGGTATGTCACTCGTGAAATTTGTTATATCAAGGATTTTTTGAGAAGTATATTTTGGATAAGTAATCATATAGTATGACTCAAAATCGCAGAGAAAATGGGGGGTCAGTGTGCATCTAACTGAGCTACGGTACAATTAAGTTGACCTTTTTGCATTTAAATTGTAACTCTTTGGTTAATCACTTTAACCGTTATCATATTTTATCAGATGTAACCACGACAATAAACATAATCTTATTTTACGTGAACTAGTTTGAATAATATTTATCATTGAACAAATCATGCAAATTAATGCGCGTAAATTATTGTGTGACCTTTTTGCACTAAAAAAGTCTCATATTTGGGGTATTAAAAATCTAAATAGGCAATAGAATATTTTCTTGTATCAAACTTTTTACGACTTAAGTGCTGATTGGTCAAAAGTATCGAGAAGTTTAAAAATATGAAAGAAAAAGTTGGGGTCAGTGATGTAAATTTTGAAATATTGGTCAAAATATGCGGTTTTCTGGCAAAAAACTGTGTAAATTTTATCTCGATTTCCTCAATATATCTTCCTTTCTTGGCAAAGTTTGTTGAGCGAAGGTGTAAATTTTGTTATAAAAATATAAATTGAGACCTATATTTAATATTCCAGGCATATCATAACGGAAAATATTCTCTGAGTAAAAGTATGTGAGGCTAAAGTTCCAAGATATTAAATTTAATAAATGTGTAGATTTGCAGAATTTTCTGCTAAATATCCTTCCACCACAAGAAATAGTCCCTTATAAATCTTGCTTCTTTATGAATTTTTGAGCAGTTTTTTAATTGAATGTTGAACATTTTACATTGTTTAATTTAAATATGTTATAAAGATTGAATTGTAGTAAATAGTTTTTAAGTAAGAGGTTCTGACTGAAATTTTCTAAAAGGCTGACGAGTGCGTAATTATCAGAATCACATTTTCTACTTTAACATAAAGATTTATGAAATATTATAATTCTTGTGGTGTGCTCAACATTATATTATACGCCAAAAAAGTATAAATTGCATGCATATATTAATAATTCATAAAAATCTCCTGTATCTCTAAAGGATTCTTCGTATATGTCTTTCTGAATGGAGTTGCACTATGTAGCTTTGACGACAATTTCTTTCGACTGGTCTCTTTCGTTGTTTTTTTCCCCCCACATATACCTTGAAAAACTGCTTAAATCATTCAAACACTACGAACTTGAATATATCTATGTGTTCCAAACATTTGTGTTTTCTAATGCACCTCTAATTTGAGGGTGAATTAAAGTTCCGAACTACATTTTATCATATTACAGTGCGCCGTCTGTGTGAATGCATTTTTTTAAAGTCAAGTCAAGTGTCTAACCAGTGCAAGTAAACGTTATAAAATTCTTATTAATGAAGGCATATGCGTTAAAATTGGAATAAAGATATTTATTTATTTTAGTTGAGAAACAATCATTTTTATCCCACTTATTTTAATAAAATTCATTTGGAATAAGGTCTAAACCAGAGCATATTCCAGATTTCAAGCTTGATATTCCTACTTGCACTTCTTTAGGCGTAAACGGAAAATCTAGGTGTTTTTTTTTTTCCAACTTCACAATTAATGTCCATACCTATGTCATGTTCTTTAGAATTTAATAGAGTATGAAAATGGTCAACCCATTTAGATATTTTTATGGGCGACTCTGCCTCAACATGATTCTGCATGTGTGACTTTAGAGAATTCCAATTTTTTTTTTTTGTGCAATTTGGGTTCAGTTCATCAATAACATGAATAGTGTTTGCTGCAGATATACAGAAACCAGATTTGAATTGCTTACACATTTTGTGGAATTGTTTTTTATCTTGTGAAAATGCTTGAAGTAAACAATAATTATTTGGTGATTTTTGAAGTTTTTTACCAAGATTTCTAACCTCCCTTCTCAGCATTAAACATTTATTTGACATCCATTCTTTCTTAGGTTTGATTTGTTTTGTACGTCTACAAGTTTTTTTGCTACATCCTCTAAATTTCACAGTTTTGAGACCTTGATCTTCAGTATACCATTTAAAAAATCATATACCAACTACTATACAATTAAAGTAGGTGGTATATATACGAATTTTTAAATAATTATGTTCTCTTTCGCTTCGCTTAGCCGAACATGAATTTTTTCCTATTCTTTTTACATAAATAAAAACTCAAACACGAATATTGAAGGAGGCGACAATGTTAGCCAGATTTAATAAAACAGATTTGTACAAATATAAACGCGTCCATTGGTGCAGCCTTACAGTGCGAGGTGGAAGATAAAACACATGCTGTGCAGCTCCAGGTTGGGAATCATAAACTGAACACCAATCTACAAAAGGATTCTGCTTCATTATTATATCAAAGTAAAAATTTCGGAAAACTGATAGGTCGTGACTAACTTGTCAAATGACCACAGAACCTGAAACATGAGTTTAAATACCCTTAGACCAAATTACTATATGCCACAAAATAGACCCCGAATGTCGAAGCAACCAGGATCGACCCCCAAAGCACCAAACTTTTTTTTTAATGTAACCAAAAAGAAATATATATACATAATACTCCGGGAGTAACCATCGAGGAACCTATTTTGATGGTGATAAGCAATCAATAAAAAAAATCTTGAGAGAGCAGAAGAATAGAAAATGAATGCAGTTACATAAAATGTTTATTTCTGGCATATACAGAAAATTAAAGAACATTTGCACATGACTATAATTAATTTTTTTTTTTTTTTTTAAAAAAGTACAGTTACCAATTTATTTGAAAAGCATATAGACATTTATTATAATTTATTTGGAACCTTTAATACATTAATAAAACATACAAATGTGATTTTAAAATAAAGATCAAAGTTCATAAATGGATTTCGATTTGACCTAGCAAGTACGTCAGTTACTTAAACAGGCTTTAAAGAGATAATTGTTTCATATTTAAATAAAACAAAATCAAAGGGGAAAAAAACAACATTTCTCCTCTTTATCCTGCCAAACATTTGGGCGTGCTCGATGAAGTTCTTTTCTTTCAATGAAGGGTAGCCCCATCCAGGGGCAATCTACGTTGAAGATGCAAAGATTTTTCCAGCCAAATGACAAAGTTACAAACCAGAAAACTACAAAGGCTACTTTGAGGATTCTAGGCCTATAGGTTTTTCCCCAATGATGGCGGCCAAGGGACATAACTTTCGAAATATAAGATCTTGTGTATGCCAAAATTTAATTCACGGCTAAACTGCTAAAACTCTTATGGAAATATTTTAGTTGCTAATGAGCATCATTTTTGAAATGGTATTGGAATGCATGTACAGAAAACTACTAGTATATTACCAAGAAAAAAAGTTTTACGCTAGGCATTAAATAGATTAACTGAAAAATACTTCAAAACGTACACTATTCTGTCAATTGACGTTTTTCTTCTTTGCTGTCTAAAACTACGTACATGTATATCACGTGAAAAAAACACAATGCTTTATCGACACAATAGCACCAACGTCTCTTTGAACAATAGTTTGTGCATTACAAATTGATATAAGGCTTCATAAACCAAATCTTGTAAATGTGAGCATAGAAATGAAAAATTATGCATCATTTTCAATATTTCTTTCATAAATAAAAAAAAAATTGAAAATGAGTTTCCAGGGGACAATTAAAGTTGCTCTTTATTTTCAATTACATAGTGAGTTCGTATTGATACTTGTAGTAGCCCATAATGCATTGCGAGAGTGAGAGAAACAGAGTTTGAGTACCTTACCTGCACGAATAAAGTTTGCACAGAATGACAGAAGTGAGAATCCGAGTAGGTCACAGACAGACATGTTTACAC